ATATCCTATAGCTCGATATTGTTGCTGCAGGATTACATTTGTAGGATGAAATGTTTGGAAAGTTTTCTCGATCATATCATAATCGGAAACACTCTCTCCGCATAAAATCATCCTGGAAGTGATTCCGAACAAAGCGGAATTATATTCACTTACACTTTTGTAATCCTGAAACCGCAGATTTAGCCATTCATGTTTGGCTTTTGGTAAGATCACATATTTCTGGTGATCAAACCTATCTCTGAGAGGGACCCAGATATCTGCGGGATTTTCTCTCGTGATGTATTTATCTTTTAAACTATCGTGGAGATGGTGACGTAAAAACATCATGGCTTTTGTCTTTTCCTCTTCTAACGTCGTTTCCGACGGATCGAGGGTTTTGAGAAGCCCATTCCCTTTTAGATACATTTTTGCATCTAATGCCCATGTCATATAATTTTTTCCAGAAACATAAAGGGCAGCGATATCAAGCTTTGCCAAATTCGACATGATAACTAAATAATAAAGCAATTTGTTAAATATAAATTTTTGAAAAACTTTTGCAAAATCTTGTTTTAGAAATAAAGCAACATAAAATAAATTTAGAAATAACTATATACTATAAGCTATAATAAAAGCATAAATTAAAACAATCATTTTAAGAGGCATAGCCATCCATATGATTGTACAAGAGGCATAGCTTTTCATAGGATCGAGGAGGCAGAACCTACAATTATGATCCAAAAATATAGATCTGAACATATGATCGAGGAGGCAGAGCCTACAATTATGATCAAAAATGTAGATCTTATTACGATCAAAGAGGCAGAGCCTACCATTATGATCGGGGAGAAAACATAGCCTTTTACTCCGTAAATAACAAATAATAACATATACATAAATTTAAATAAATTTAACATAATTTAAATGTTACCTTAAACCGATAACGGATCTAGAGTCATTCGTACTAACGGATCAAGAGTCGCTCGTGCTAATAACGTGTTGAATAAAATACTAAAACAAGAAAATATTAAAATAATAGAGAGGAGGAAGGAGACGTGATCTTTCTTATTATCTCGTTTTCTCTCTACGTATGTTCCTTCACTTCTCAAATGAAAAGTATATATAGTACATCAAAACTTGGTGAACAAGTTACGTGTGGAGAAAGTGATAAGGTGATAAACATAAATGTAATTATCCTATTTTAACAATCTTTCGTTATGTCAGAAATAACCCCGTACGTTTCTCGGTTTCGAATCAATTGTAACGTAAAAACGAGATAAACACATCAAACTACTTGAAGAGGGTCCTATTTATCTTAATGGCGCTCCAATTTTTGAAAAGTTTGTTTTCTCTCCTTCTTCTCTTTTATCCTCTTGAATTACCAAGTATGATCAAGTCTTGGAATTTATTGTTCTTGTGCTATTGTGCATGCTTGTTTCGTAATTGATTGTCATTTATTCAAGATTTATCACGTTTCTTGTTAGTTCTCGTTTCTGGTCTTAGATTTGCTATAGACCAAAGAAACAGTGATTATATTCGATGGTTCAATGGCGAAAACCTACTAGTGATGATGGAATAAAATTAGTGTTACTGTTATGATCTTGTAGCAATAGGTTCCGCGATCAGTGATGAAGGCAGTCTTCTCATGGTCATCTAGATGCATCATGATTTGATTATACCTAGAAAAAGCATCCATAATACTTGCTTTCCGGATGTTGCTTCCGCCAGCCGATCTATATGAGGTAAAAGGAAACTATCCTCCGGACAGGCTTTGTTGAGATCGGTGAAGTCGACGCAAACTCGCCATTTACCCTGTTTTTTTTCTTTATGATGACTGGATTTGCCAGGCAGTCCGGATACTGGACTTCGGTGATCAGATCGGGCTTAAGGTGTCGTTTGACTTTGTCCTGAACCGCGTTGGCTCGATCTGGCCCCAATCTTCTCCTATTTTGCCGCACCGGTTTAAAGGTCAGATCGATGTTGAGCTTGTGACACGTCGCGTCTGGATATATCCCTGTCATATCTTTCGTCGACCATGCAAAAGTGGAGGATCTTGTTTTTAGGTACGTAACTAGCCATTCCTTCAGATCATCATCCCGTTCGGCTCTAATCCCAACATTCTGGGAAGGGTCCAAGTCATGGATGTTGATCTAGACTATCTGACAGCTTAGAGATTTCATCAGATGTCAACCATGCTGATAGAGAACTGACGAGTGTTCTCCGTTCTATAGTTGTTATAAGTTTTTGACCTTCCTTTGCTTTTTCTCGATGACATAAAATGTTTTTGAAACCTTTTGGACTCCGTATAGAGTGAAAATATCGGTGGTTATAGGGAACTTGAGGCAAAGGTAATAGGTGGATGGCATTGCCCGCATCGCGTATATCCAGGGAAATTTTAGAATTGCGTTTTAGATCGGGGGCGAATCAATTACGACGAATTTTGTTTTCTTTGTGATCCCTCCAGCTCGGACTTGTAGTTTGATTTAACCAATTGACATCTTAGATCACCGTCGTAGCCTGTCAGAGGTCGGACTTTTAGGCTTGATCTGTCTTTCTAATATTCCCTTTTTCTAAAGTTTCGAGGAACATCAGGTTCACCGAACTCCGAGGTCGATTAAAACATTTTCGACATCAAATTCGCCCATGGTTATTTCGAAGACTAAAGCATCGTTGTGCAGATGCTGGATTCCGTAAGAGTTTAGCGACGTGAAAGGGGTGATTCTCATCTTTTGGTTGCGAATGTATGCTGCAGATTTATCGCGTCTTCTTTTTGAGGGTCGAGTTCTCACATGGACATGGTGATTCTGCCTCGAGGTTGTGAGGGAGCTCGCTCTGAGGGTTGCCCCTGGGCCTTTTGAGATTTTAACATTTTATTAAAGGGAATTTGCCGGGTTCTTCTTTTGGAAGGTCGGTAACGATCTTTCCATTGATTTGAGGGAGGTCGGCTGGCGACCTCCATGGGCTTCGAGCCCAATGGCCCACTAACAGGTAAACCGGGAAAACTCGGTTTAATTGAATTGCTCAATTAATTCGAATTTTCTTCTTTGGTTTAGGCCGGTATCTTGGTATGTGCTAATTCCCGCACAAACAAATAGTTTTATGAGTTCCAAATTTAGATGAAAACAGAACATTATCAAAGAAAGAGATCAGAGATCTATACCAGAGTCCCTTCCTGAAAGCCGTAAATGTTGCGTCATCGGTTACTGTAACTTTGGATAGTATGTCCTTGAAGTGGTATAAGTATTGAAGCAAGGGTTCCCCACCCTCTTGTGTTATACTCCAGAGGTCGAGACTTGAGGCTCCAAGTAGGATGAAGATCCGATAGTATTTGAGGAAAGCCGTAGACAGATGAGTGAAGTTGTCGATTGAGTTAGCTTCGAGTTTAGAGAACCAAGTCAGGACGTTTCCTGACAAACTTTCTACGAAAAGTTGACAGCACCTGATGTCTCTATGCTCACTTGAGAAGTGAGCTTTACCAACCGTATTCATGAAGAATGTCATGAATTGCATAGGGACCTTGTTGCCCTTATATATCGAAAGTTTGAACTTGGTGTGAGGGATCTGCATTTCCGTGATCTGACTAGTGAACGGTGTTCTCTACGTTTCCTTGAACATTTAGCCAATCTCGGGAGCTGAACTAACGGCATGATGTATCTGAGAACCCACATATCAGAGTTTCGAGTAAATATCCTCGATATCGGTATTTCGATCGCCAACCGACCTGCCCATAGTGCAGTTGACAGGTGTTTGAAATTGTAAGGATAGTCTGCTTTCGATAGGTCAGATCCCAGTTGTGGCTTGCACAAGGAATATCCTGTTAACGCGATTGGACCGGGCGTCCGTGAAGTCCAAGTTCCGGGCGAACTCCGGTAGTCTTGCTGACCTCTAGGATGTTACCTCACTGCTAGGCGGCTGCTGAGTGTTTCGGGCGAGCTTATCAATTCTTCGGTAGGTATCCGTGATCATCTGAACTAGATCCTCGGTTAGACTGCAGGAGACTAGTTTGAGATCGTCGAGAAGGATCCATGTGGCTGATGTTGCTGCATCTGTTCTTGTATTAGCGGCAAGTTGCTATGCCTTGGTCATATTTCCGACAACTCCATCCTGAGGATATTTTTGTTCACCGCCGGTTAGATTGCCTTGTGGTTAGATAGCATGTGGGATGAATCCATTCAGATTTATCGGTAGTTGCGCGCCTGGCAGGGTTGATTCCGTTTGGGTTCACTAGTGGTTGCATCCTTGGCGGGGTGATTCTGTTTGGACTAACCATTTGCCCGGTTCTTCTCTTGGAAGATCGGTAGCGATCTTTCCATTGATTTGAGGGAGGTCGGCTAGCGACCTCCATGGGCTTCGAGCCCAATGGCCCACTAACAGGTAAAACCGAGAAAACTCGGTTTAATTGAATTGTTCAATTTATTCGAATTTTCTTCTTTGGTTTAGACCGGTATTGTAGTGGGTTCTCTAATTCCCGCACCAACAAATACTTTTAGGAGTTCCAAATCTGGATGAAAACAAAACATTATCAAAGAAAGAGATAAGAGATGTGTACCTTTCCCGGTGGTTTACTCACGACCAGTGACAAGATTTCCAATGACAAAATTAGTGTAAGAATATAGTCATGGCCTGACCTCAATAAGAGTCACTTTATCCAGATCGCCTCGTGCAATCTTGTCTGACTCGTTATGAGGTACCGATATCTGCAACGGGAGAAAATACAAACCTTGGCTAGTTAATTCAAGCGCTTCGAGACTCAAATGAAATGAGAACATGTGATCTCTGAGATGTTAACTTTTCAACCAACCTGGTAGTTATGGAACCAAATATGGTCATCAACAATGGAGAAAACAAACACATGGTCATGGTAAGGTTTAGACTTCCTATGTCCCTCGGAAATTCCAAAAATCTGTAAGCAAAAAACAAAATTCATTAAAATGTTAAAAGTTCAAGATATAAACCAAACTAACCGCGACTACAAAAGGATCATCCACAATTCAACAGTGAGAATGGAAATAGGAATAACCTGAGTTAACATCTCTTTAATAAACTCAGAGACGAATCAGAGAACCTTTCAGATGATTTCCAGTGAGTTTCAGCTCCTCCATTGTGTGAACACCACAAAAACACAAAGACACAGCTCAGAGACGATACAAATTGATAAACCCATTATTACCCAACATATGATTAGATCCATCAGCTCGTGTCACTTATGTTGAAACCAAATAAGAGAAGCTGGAGACATTACCAGCATTAACCAAGAACTTAACGGAAGGTCCACCAGGGGACTTCACCATCCACATGCAAAGATCTTTGTGCTTCCTACAATGAAGACGAAAACAAACAAACACGTACTAACTTCAGTTTCTTGAAGACATTGACAAGTAAATCCAGACATGATGACATCAAAACAGAGAGACTAAAGAGCACAATTTGAACCAGACAAGAAAGAATCCAATCAGTTATGCATCAATGGTATGAAACTTTTACCAAGTTACATATCATACTTAACTTTTTAAGAGAACTGATAAGAATTTGATTATCAACTTCACGACCAGTGATAAGAACTTTTCGGTTTTGGCTTCCATGTCCTGCAACATTCTTCGGTATAATTTCACCTAACAAATTCAATTATAGCACAAACCCATCAAACTAATTGGAAATTATATACCAAAATCAAAACTTTAAGACACAACACATCCATGGATCCATAACAAATTTAAACAATTTCAATCACGTAATTGCAAGAACTCAAAAGATAAAATCAAAGCAAACAACTACAATAAGATCAAATTTAAAAAAAAAAAGAAAAACCTGCGATTCCGCCTTGATGAAGAAGATCAGAGATTCTAGACGACGCCATATCGGAACCTTGTTGTTGTTCTTCTTCTTCGGTGATCTGAAGTAACGCTCCTCCAATACTCGTTAACAGAGATGAAAAGATACACCGGAGATTTCAAAGTCTCTTTGCTTCTCCCAGAAGAAAAACCCTAATTTTCTGAGTGTAAATTGCGAATGGTGAAGATTCGTCGTTGAAGGAGGATACTGTTTTAAATAAACTTTTTGCTCTCTCTAGCGGTCATGTTCTTTTTTATGAATCAAATCTTGACCGTTGATTTAAGTTTTGATTGAGATCCAAGGGTTTAAGAATTAATGATATTGGTTATACACATTATTTTTAATAGCCGTTGGAGACAAGTAACCAAGTCGGTGTGGAGCTGCCGTTTTTGTTTCTTGTTCACGAAGTTAGATTGCTTCTTACATCGGTGGACGGTTTAAGACAACTACGGGATACTGCATAAGTCCCAGCTTAGCTAGATAAAACACCAGTTTCTCCATCTCATTGTCACATGGACCAGAAGATTTTGGACTGACGTAAACGAGGAAAGCTGCAAACCACACTTCAGCAGAAGAACTCATCTAAGAGGAACCAAGACTTTTACGGCAACCTTAAGAGCTCGAAGCAAGGTTATTATATTTCAATGTCGATTGGTACATCACAGTTCCAACTCCTTATGTGTTCCTTGCGCGGTATGTTAAAGCTTCAGTTCCATGTGACATTGAGATGGAGAAACTGGTGTTTTATCTGGTTGAGCTGGGACTTATGCAGTATCCCATTGTTGTCTTAAACCGCCCATCGATGCTGGCTGCATCAGCGGTGTATGATGCCATTTTGGACCGAGACCTTGAAACATCACACTGGCTACTTGGAAGATGAGATAATGTAAGCTAATCTAACCTAATCCTTGCTTTATGTTATTGACCTCATTCATTTTTGCAGTAATGGATTAACAATGGTTTGGTTTGTTTGTTTTTCAGGGAACATGCAAAAAACACTGATCAAGTTAAGGGACTCGGCTTCAGAGAGTAAATAAGTGCAGTGTTCAAGAAATACTCTGTCTCAGAAAACGCTGAAGTTGCTCTTCTTCCTTCGCTTGATGACTTATCTGTTTCTTGTTCATGAAGAAACAAAACCCTAGTCTTCTTTTGTAGATCATGTAGTTGTGATGATCTCTTTGTGTTCTTCCCTTTTTCTGTTTGGTTTTACATTGGATCCTCTGTTAGACCTGTCAAAGATATTGATGTTGACCATGGACAAGTTTTATTAGCGTGGTTTCATTTATCTTCAGTTTCTCTTGGATTCCTCTAATTGCGTTTGAATTACTGATATAGCTATTCCTTTTGTCACATATATCTTATAGGTTAAAGATATTTGCACTGCAGAAAATAAAATGTGTCACAAAACTAAGTGCAACAAGATCAGTGAATTTTTTTTAATGTATTATTAACATGATAAACTGAGCTTTGGTTTCAAATCTAAAGACATAGCTTCGTTTATCTCTTCCTTCGAAATTGAATTTGAGGGTTAGTGTTGGCTTTGTTGATCTAGCAATTACTATAACACTAATTTTATGTAGTTCCATGAGATCAAAACTTTGTAACTTTTTAATCACCGACTCCAAAATTTTTAGAAACAAGCCATCTGTTATATTCCTCAGGTGTCAAGTAGATATGCAACAAAACAAATTGAATAAAAACAAACTTCTTCCTTCACTGATCCTTTCTTTATTTTACACACAAATGCTTATAAACTACAAACCAAAATACTCTCAGGGACTTTGGCCCGTCTGACAGTCTCTATTTTGTTGCCTGGGCCGCCTATAACACATCAATATCTCTTCTATAAAAGTATAGTTTCCAACTCAATATCTCTTCTTCGTTGATAAAACCGAAAATTACTTACATTACAATCACAACACTACAAGAAATATGGATATTCTTAACACACCGAAAACGCTACTATATGGTTTTCATGGCGGACTCATAAACGTTGTCTTTGCAGGAGCTATCTTAGGCAGTAGACCTCTTATTGCAACTGGCAATAGTTGTTGCATTAAAACATGGTAATCATGTGACTTTAGCCCCATTACTTTGCACTCCTCTAATGATATGCATGTGGATATATTAGAACAGTAGCCATCAGGTCCTTTGAAGTCATAAAGGCGCTTACAGAATGTTTTCTTCTCAGATTTTGACAAAGACCAAGGTGCAGGTGGAAGGTAGGTTCTTTTACCTCTTTCAGCAGGGTGCAAATCCTTTCTAATGCCTAGAAGTTGTAGATCTTTCCGGGTCTTTAAACCATCCTTTGATTTCCCACAGTGTAACAGAGTGGCAACAATAGTTGCACAGACATTTCTCTCAACATGCATGACATCCAAATTGTGTCTGACTGGCAGGTCCTGAAAAAAAACATTGAGACTCAGTCTAAATAGAGACTAAACATTGTAAAAAGCTGCAGTTACAACAATACTATTGACAAAGAGAATTAAAACATACCTCCCAATATGATAACTTGAAAAAGATTGACCTTTTCTTCCACCTTGATAACTCTTCATCGTCTTTTTCACCTTCTTCCTCTTCATCTGATTCACTGTCATCACTCTCATCACTTGAGACTGTCTCAATTACATGTTCAGTCCTAGATCTCTTCTTCCCAGTCTCTTTCCTATTCCCAAAATCATTTCTGAAATTTTTTAAGAGAACATATATATTATGACCAGTAAGTATCATTCCCTTACTCCCATGTTCTGCTTTACCATCAAACCATGTCTTCTTTACCCGATACCTATGATTTGGTGGCAGACTCTTGCGATGGCACATATATACATGCTTCCTACAATTACGCAACCACATACTGTCAGTGCTTTTCCCACATAAAGGACAACCCATCTTACCTTTAACTCTGCATCCAGCAAGATTCCCATAGGCAGGGAAATCACTGATAGTCCACAGAAGAATTGCTTTAAGGTTGAAAGTAGTCTTGCTGAATGCATCATAAGTTACCTCTCCATTGCTCCACAAATGTTTAAGATCCTCTATCAGGGGTTCTAAGTAAACATCAATGCTATTACCAGGTTGCTGAGGCCCAGGAATCAACAAGGTAAGCATCACATTTTCCTTCTTCATACACAAGTCTGGAGCCATATTATAATTAACTAACAATACTGGCCAACAGCTATACTTACTGTTTTTCATGTTGAAAGGATTGAAACCATCAGTAGAAAGACCAAGTCTTATGTTCCTTTCTTCAGCAGCAAACTCAGGGTATTTGGCATTGACTTGCTCCCAAGTCACAGAATCTACAGGGTGACGCATTTTTCCATCACTACTCTTGTTACTAAAGTGCCACCTTAGGTCCTTGGCTTGTTGCTCAGACCTAAACATTCTTTTCAGGAGTGGTATAACTGGAAAGTACCTTAGAACTTTCTGTGGAACACCTATCTTTATCTGACCAGTGTGCATGTTTGTCTTCCATCTAGAAGCTTTGCATTTGGGACAGGCATCAAGCTTCTTGTACTTCTTCCTGAATAGACAACAGTCATTAATACAAGCATGAATTTTTTGATACCCCATATCAAAAAATTTCAGAAACTTCTTCACATCATACATTGATGTATGTAGAACATTGTCCTCTGGTAACATGGCTGGTAAACTCTCCAGAAGATCGTTGAAGCTTTTGTCTGACCACCCATTCTTTGTCTTTATCCTATACAATGTAACTATCGCAGACAGCTTGCTATGTTTTTCACAACTAGGGTATAAAGGAGTCTCAGCATCAGCTAGCTTAGCAAGAAACTCATCTTCTTCCTTGTCCTCTTCCTCACCATCAGCATAATCAACTAAGCTACCCTTACTAGCCAACTCTTCATCTAAGTATCTCTACAAGAAATATGGGCATTCTTAACATACTGAAAACGCTGTTATATCGTTTACATAGCGCTTTCGTAAACGCTGTGTTTGCCGGAGCTATCTTAGAGTGGTCACGTACAATAGCGCTTTTTTGATATGCTATTGAATGTGTACGTATTATAGCGCATTCATGTTGTTATTATGTGATATATTGTGGCACATGTTTTTCGCTACTTTAATTTATTTAGTAGCAGTGCTTTCTTGTAATGAAACAATTTATAGTAACATGTAGTTTTAGCTAATATTTAATCTATGGTTACAGAAATTAGTCGTAATATTATACTTACCAGTAGCACAATATATTTATAATAATTTTGTTTTACGTAACTATGGTATTTGGCTAATCTCAATATATGATTTATTTCTTAGATCGCTTCATAACGCTATATATTTTCTGAAATTTGGTGCTCAAATAATATATGATATGCATTTGCAATACAAACTGAACATTTTCATAGAAATATGTTATCAGACCATTACAACAACTGTCTTACATACCATCTGTTAAAGTACCAAGTCTCAAGTCTAAAGACTGAACAATGCAACACAAAAGAAATTAAACTAAAGGACAGGATGCTTCTTACACATTATACCAGCACCACTTTGTCAACTGGCCAAGCTATAGTCGTACCTAACGCATCTTCCATACACTCAACCGCAGAAGAAGGCCTCCAAACCGCTGCATCATCCACCTTGACTATATCTACCCAGACGCGGACTCCGTTATGGCCCAGAGGAACAAAGTGAATTTTCAGGTCAGGATCATTTGAAGACCAACGTCCTTCAGCAACTACCCTGTTCAATCCTGTTATATCCATCAACATGCACTTCTGATTTTCCTTGCCAACTACTACTGCAGGCATGCTTTTCTGCTAAGTGAAAACAAAATTAAATATGACATATCTAAGAATGAAGCAAATAAAACCATAACTTATTTAGCACAAAAATATTTAAGAGGGTTATAGTTACCTGAGACTTCAGAGTAGGGGCCTGTGAGGAGGATTGTGACTGAACCTGTGTTTTCTTAATAGGAGCTGAAGGGGTTGATGCAGATTGTTGAAGAGAAGATAATGAACCTGCGGGTGTGTCAGTGTTTACTCCATAGAAGATAACTCTGTGGACAGGCCAAGCCACAAAAGACTTTAAACAATCATCCAGTGTTGACAGTTGTGGAGTGGGTCTCCAAAGAAATGTTTCAGGTTCTACCACTGCATCAATGAAAATTTTAACAGCTCCTGGTCCAATGGGAAGTCCATTAACCAATGCCTCTCTGGCTTTACTTTGCCAACGACCTTCTGCAACAACTTCTTCATCATTTTTACCCCAGTCTAGTAGCTTGCATAAGTTGGTAGAATCTGCACTTGGACTCTGCAGTTAACACATGCAAAGAAACAATATGATTATGTACACTATCATCTGATATCTATAAACAGATGTACTAAGAACCACTAACCTTAGGTACACTATCATCTGGTAACACATCATCATAGACAACACAATAGTTCTGGGACCATGCAATCACTGTTCCAACTGCTTCTCCAATAGTAAATATCTTCTGTGTGGGTCTCCACAGCCATGCATCTGATTTAATAGCAGTTTCAACCAATACCTTATAAGCTCCAGGTCCTAAAGGTGTGTCGTCGACGAAGTCACCACGATCAGAAGACAGGATAAGTCCCTCAGCAACTTTGTCATCAGTACCAGACCAATCATGCAACACACACTTAGGTTTAGATCTATTTTTCACACTCTACAAAATGAATTAAATATAAGTCAATAGTTATATACTTATATCCATCATATTTAAGCTATTTGGTAAATTCATGTACCATAAATACTTACTGTTGGAGCAGAGTTTTCACCTATTTCAGGTTCAGTTTCTCTCTGTGAAACACAAACAAAAAACCACAGATATAATGAGCATACTAAAAACTCAATAAATATTTGTAGTACTACTAACACTTAGCTTCAATAATTCTAACCTGGTAATTCATTTTAGCAAGTGCTTCTTGCAAGTCTTGAACCTGTTTCTGTAGTTGGGATTGGTTTTGTTGCATATCAGCCATATGCTTGTTCTTGACTTGGAAACAAGCCAGTTTACTCACACTCATTCCTCTACCCATAGCTCTCAGTCTGCCTGGATTATCAGGTCCTAATACCTGAGAAAGTAGGTCGTCTTTTGGATTTGATGATGTGGATGAGGGATCTCCAGATGCAGCAAGCTCATTTGCCTTCCTCTGATTATATGGCAGATTTATATATGTAAAAACAAGATAAAACAGGCCTAGCTACAGAAATCATTCCAAAACAACTTCAGAACTTACAATTTTCTCAGCTGCCTTAGTATTGACTGCTGTACCATCCTTTTTGGTTCGAGACTTCACCCAAACTTTCAGTCTTGTGACTTCTGATGGTTCTGAGCATTCTTTTTTCTATGTAAAAAGATAAGATAAAATCAAAAGAACATTATACTTCAATACATTGACTCATACTGTAGATATAAAATACTTACCAATTCTTTTGCAAGCCTAACCATTCCTTTACGGCTGCAAGTGTGAGGAATCTGATTACGTCTTCTCTCCTTGTATTCATCACTCACAGCCTAAAGATGAATGTTAGTAAAGATAAGATGTATCAAAATAATTTTAGTGTTAATGAGCTACCTGAAATTCAGGACTAGTTTTTAGCTTGACAAACTTTCGCCATTCCCCAATAGGAACATTCTTTGGTCGTAGCTTCATCCTATCTGCGTTGTTGTTTGCTTTAATCACATTCTGTACCATCCTTGATTTGTAAGCTCTCCACAGGCAACCCATATGTTTGATAACAGCAGCCTTTTCATACTCTCCATCAAGTTCAAATCTTGCCTGCAAAAGAAGCTAGTTAACAGATAAAACAGAAATATTTACATGTTAGAGAGGAAGAGTAGGTGATCACCTGAACAGACTTCCACAAAACAGTTTTGCGCTCTTCCCCAATCTTCCTCCAGTCTTCAATTATAATAGGAACATGTTCTCTTACTAAAGAACCTATGTATGATGATAACTTAACTGACCCTGGTCCACAAGGTTCTGCTAGGTCAGTAAAATCAACTTTTATTCTTGAGTTTGGATCCTTGGCGATGTCTTTCATCTTTGTTGGTCCTCTGCGTCTCTTTGGCTGCTGCTGAACTGGAATTGCAGCCTCTTCAGATTGGTGCTGTCCTTCTGTTTCTTGTTCTGCATCAACTGTAGGTACCTCACCATCTTCTTCCACTCCAATATCAGTCTCAGAAGTTGGATGCTTCTCATTATCTGCTAAGACATCACCCTCACCTCCATTATCTTCCTCATGTGATTGTTGAGTCTCAGCTTCCATCATCTCCAAAGCTGGTTCAATAGTACCCAAATACTCTGGCTCCACATCTTCTACAGGGGTTTTCCTCTTTCTTGAAACCTTTTTCTTTGGAGCCATCTTAGTTCACCTGAAAAGCTCAAAAGAACACAAATAATGAAAAAAAGAATTCATTAGTTGGTGAGATTATCATGTAAACACCAATTGAAAATTCCAAATATGAAAAAGAATCAGTTCCCAACAAAAAAAAACTCAAGAGAATTCTCTGCAACTAATACTACAACTAATACTACACAATAAATCATGTAGATGCTGATCACACATATATTCCTTCACAATCCCTCCGGGCATTCTGAGACTCATCATTCAAGTCTTCAGTATTCATATCAATAATCGATGGTAATGGTCCAACATCTGTATCTTCTTCAGTTTCCTCATTGTATCTTCTAGAAGGACCTTTCATCACAACAAACCAATTAGATGAATCATTTTCCCTAGAATAAAATACTTGCTTTGCTTGAGACGCTAATATGAATGGATCCCTTGCAAAAGATGTCTGACTCTGATTCAAGTTAACTAGTGTGAATCCATCTTCAATCTTCACTCCATTACCTCTAACTGCCCATTGACATCTGAAGATGGGAACATAGAAGACATTGTAATCTACCAGAATAATGTCAGTGACTCTCCCATAGTATGAAACCCAATCAACAACTTGAGAAGTGTCCTTAGCACTAGAACGACACATGGCTGTGGCCTCATAAAACACTCCACTATTCTGACTTAGCCTATCAACAGAGTTTGTGTGAAACCTCAGGCCATTCACTATGTAACCAGTGTAAGACCTTGCAATGCTTCTAGGACCATATGCCAACCACTTTAATGTATCTTCATGCACATCTGAGTCCATAGGTATCTAATATGCAGCAGACAACAAGTTAAACTCTGTATATACGACACCAAACATGAAAATGTAAGTATATATAAATACTTGCCTGTTTTTTTAACCATTCTGCAAAATTTTGTGTATGCATACTCCACAAAACAGTAGCATCACGTTTGCATTTGGCATTAGTGTCTTGTAGATACTGTAGATGCATGCTAGAATAAAAAACAGGAATACAATAAGAATGGTTAAAGTAAATAGAAATTAAAGTAAATATAAAGTTGACTGACCAACTTACTCCACATAAGGATCAACCATTGCTGTATTTTGAATTACAGCAAGATGGGCTATCTTCTTCTCCATTTCAGTAAAAGTGAATGCAGTTGCTGCAGATATAGGACGACCCTCTAAGATTGAGCTACTCTCATACTCTGTGTTTCTGTCAGCTTTCTCTTCTACATTTGTAGTCTTCCTCAAGAAAGCATTGCAAAACTCCATGCATTCTTCTGCTAGATAAGACTCAGCTATGCACCCCTCTGGTCTTGCTGGATTTCTGACATAATCTTTCAAGACTTTCATGTACCTAACAGAAATAAACACTAAATCTGAGTACCTTATGAAACAAATAAACACAAAATATGGAAACCAAATTGAAATAACTTTTTAACAGAGAAACCTGACCTCTCAAATGGATACATCCATCTGAAATGGACTGGTCCACCCAATCTGGCTTCTCTACCAAGATGGACACACAAGTGCACCATTATATCAAAAAAGCTAGGAGGAAAGAACCTCTCAAACATACACAGAGTCTCAACAACTTCTTTTTCCAATACAGTAATCTGCTCCATATCAATGACCCTTTGACAGAGAAGGTTAAAAAATGAGCATAAGCGTAGGATAGCAACCCTTGGACCTTTTGGTAGTAAACCTCTAACTGCAACTGGGAGAAGCTGTTGCATCAAGACATGGTAATCATGTGATTTGAGTCCCATTACTTTGCAATCATCTAATGATATGCAACTAGATATGTTAGAACAGTAGCCATCCGGACCTCTGAAGTCATAAAGCCGCTTACAGAAAACTTTCTTCTCTTGCTTTGACAAGGACCAAGGATCAGGTGGAAGGTAGATTCTTTTACCTCTTTCTGTAGGGTGCAAATCCTTTCTAATGCCTAGTAGTTGGAGATCTTTGCGAGTCTTTAAACCATCCTTTGATTTACCACAATGCAACAGAGTAGCAATAATGCTTGCACAGACGTTTCTCTCCACATGCATCACATCTAAATTGTGTCTTACTGGCAGGTCCTACAAAATACATTACATAGTAAGTTAATATAAGTTAATCGTAAATATTTATACTTTAAGGGATATTAGAAACATACCTCCCAATAAGGCAACTTGAATAAGATTGACCTTTTCTTCCATCTTGATAATTCCTCCTCATCTGTTTTTACTTCTTCTTCTTCATCTGACTCACTATCTACTTCTTCCTCTTCATCTGACTCTACAGTAGCAGGCCTAGCTCTCTTCTTCCCAGATTCTCTCCTATTCCCAAAATCATTTTTGAAATTTTTAAGTAGTACAGATATATTATGACCAGTTAATATCCTACCTCTGATTCCATGTTCAGCTTTCCCATCAAACCATGTCTTCTTGCCCCTATAACTGTGAGTTGGTGAAAGACCTTTGCGATGGCACATATAGACATGCTTCCTACAGTTACTCAACCACATACTATCAGTGTTCTTCCCACATAAAGGACAACCCATCTTACCTTTTACTTTGCATCCAGCAAGATTTCCATAGGCAGGAAAATCACTGATAGTCCAAAGGAGCATTGCTTTAAGTGTGAAAGTACTCTTGCTGAAGGAATCATATGTCAACTCTCCTGTGCTCCACAAATGGATTAGATCATCTATAAGAGGCTCTAAGTAAATATCAATGTTATTACCAGGTTGATGTGGGCCAGGAATCAACAAAGTAAGCATAATGTTTTCCTTCTTCATACACAGATCTGGAGCCATATTATAATTAACTAAGCAGACAGGCCAACAACTATACTTACTGTTCTTCATGTTGAAAGGATTGAATCCATCAGTAGAAAGACCCAGACGGATGTTTCTTTGTTCAGCAGCAAAAGCAGGATATTTGGCATTAACTTGATCCCATGTCACAGAATCCACAGGATGTCGCAGTTTTCCATCACTACTCTTATTATGAAAATGCCACCTTAGGTCCTTGGCAAGTTGCTCAGACCTGAACATTCTCTTCAAGCGTGGGATAATAGGAAAGTACCTCAGAACTTTCTGTGGGACACCTTTCTTAATCTGACCAGTGTGCTGGTTTATCTTCCATCTTGAAGCCTTGCATTTAGGACATGCGTCAAGCTTCTTGAATTTCTTCCTGAAAAGGCAACAGTCATTAATACAAGCATGAATCTTCTCATATCCCATATCAAATGATTTCAGAAACTTCTTCACATCATACATTGATGTATGGAGAACATTGCCTTCTGGTAGCATATTTGACAAAGTCTCCAGTAGATCATTGAAACTTTTGTCTGACCACCCATTCTTTGTCTTTATTCTATACAGTGAAACAATGGCTGAAAGCTTGCTATGGTTTGCAGAACTAGGATATAAAGGAGTTTCAGCGTCCGCTAGCTTTGCAAGAAACTCATCTTCTTCCTTGTCCTCAGCCTCACCATCAACATCATCCAATAACTGACCCCTATTAGCCAATTCTTCATCTAAGTAATCAGCAGCTCTGTATATCCCTAAAATCTCTTCATTCCACTGATTACCATTTCTGTCTACAGCATCCCCTGAAATCATTTCTCCATGATGATACCAATCCCTCCTTGTCTTGTAAGCCTCATCCATACCCTTTCTTACTAGATGATCAACTACTACTGTGCCTAAATGACGATCTACATTGCGACAGTCAGTACATGGGCATATTACCATATCAGTTCCTCCTAAAGCAGCAGTAACCACATGAACAAAGTTCAAAGCACCAATCTCATAAGCAGGATCAGTTCTTGAGTACATGCCAAAAGAAAGAAAGCAACAAATTCAGACAAACATAACCACTTAAACAGAAATTTATTTCTGTAAATAAACTTACCTGCATAGATGAACCCATGTCTTGTCCAACATTGTATCTGCTACCCTTATTGAGAACCGTTCATATTGTAATTCAAAACAGCATGATTCAGGCAGCAACACAGTACATGTGCAATACGCAAAAGATTCACATTAACAATACATAATTGTTTAACTAATTAATCATAAGACTGGAAAAGCTCTTAACTGTTCAAATCTTCTGAAAGAGAGTGTTGATTTTGCGAAGTCCACACCCAAACCTGAAAAAAATATCTCAAATTACTAACTTTTCATAGAACCCTAAATCGATATATGTATTTTAGAAATTCAGAAGAACCATAAGTCTTAAATCGAATCAGAATTCAGTATCATCAAGTTTAAACAGTAATTGAGACCATCAATCAGAAGAACCCTAAATCGACAAATTAAACTTGAAATCAGAAAAACCCTAAATCGAAAAATTAAACTTGAAATTCTGCAGAAGCCGAAGAAGTTTGAGCCCTAAGAAGAACCCTAAGAAGGTACATAAGCGAAATGCAAAACGAAAGTGAACTTGAAATCGGAAGAACCCTAAGAAGGTACTGAAGCGGCAAATCAGAAAAAGAAATCAAAGAAGAACGAAACAGACCGATAAGTTTGAAGGAACAGTCGATTAACAGATGAAGCTCGAGGGTGAGAATGAATCCGGTGAAGCTCGACGGTCGTCTTCTCGTCGGAGAGCTCGAGGGTCTGGCAGTGTGTTTTGTTTTTTCGACTGTAGCTAATTTGTTTTTTTTTGACTAAGTGTCGAGGGAAAGACAAACCCTATGGCGCTATTAATTTTACTAATTAGTCAATTTTCATTAAGTGTTGGCGGAATAGAGTGATTTTAGATTCCCGCGTGTGTAATTTCAGAATTAGCGTTTATATAATGCTATTATATAGTCTCTAATCCGGAACAATAACTACTATAGCATTTACGAAATTTGCGCTATGAATTTCTGCTATCAATACCCATATTTCTTGTAGTGTATTCAGCAGCTCTGTATAACCCTAAAACCTCATCATTCCACTGCTTTACTTTGCTTTCTACCGCATCCCCTGAATTCACTTCTCCATGATGATACCAATCCCTCCGTGTCTTATAATCCTCATCCATTCCTCTTGTTACTAGATGATATACTACTTCACTGCCTAAATCACGATCTACATTGCGACAAACTGAACATGGACATATAACCATTTCAGATCCTCCTAAACCAGCAGTAACCTCATTAACAAATTTCGTAGCACCATTCTCATATGCAGGATCAGTTCTTCAGTACATGTCAAAAAAAGTAAAATAACTTTGTAAGAAACAAGTTAACAAATTCAACAATAACTTATATATGTTTAACAAGTCAGAAACAAACCTGCAGAGATTAACCCATGACTTGTCCAACATTATCTGCTACCCTTATTGAGAACCGTTGAAACAATAATCCAAATCCAGCATGAATCAAGCAGCAACAGAGAACATGTGTGATACACAAAATGAATCAGACAACAACACACAACATGTGTGATACACAAAACATTCACATTCACAGTTTATATTTCGTGTAATAAAACAAAGCCCTAAGAAATCTTGTCGCTTGGACTAACCTTTGAAAGAAAATGTTGAAATTGTTATGTCCTCTGCTAGATCTGGAAAACATATAATTGAAATTAGCAAAGTACCCTAAATCGAACCATAAATAAGAAGAACCCTAACATATAACGAACTGAATTTTGAAAACAACAAGATCCATAACTTAGAATTAATTGAATCGACTACTAAGTGAAGCAAAGAGACATGCAACAACTGACATAGTTACCGATTTTGAGACAGAGCTGATGATTTCCAGATGCCGGTGAGTCGAGATTGTGAAGGAAGACGGTGAGAATCGGCGGAGAGCTCGAAAGTCGGAGAGTGGGGAAAAAGTTTTTTTTTTTTGGTTCTCAACTAAGTGATGTTTCAGTTTCCGACTAAGTGACAAAAGGGTTTAGGTTAAGTGTTTTATCTTAAGGCGCTTAATTTTTACTAAGTTTTGGCGAAAACCCGTGTTTTAGGTTCCCGCTTAGTTATATTTAGGTTTAGCGTTTTAATAACGCTATTATATAATCTAATTTCTCGAAAAAATTCTATTATAGCATTTGCAAAAACTGCGCTATGTTTTTCTGCTATCAATGCCCATATTTCTTGTAGTGCAAGCGAAACTGCGTGCAAACATGATCGCATCATTTCTCTCTTTCTCGTGGCTAATTCGATAAAGTTTCTTGTTTTTCTCTACAGGCAAGTAGTGATAACAAAATATTTTAAAGAGATCTAGTATTTACTAATTAACAACACAACCTGCACAAACCATTTGATGATGTCGACATAAACAAGAATGGTAATAATATAACAATGAATCTTGATCAAACCTTTCTCACTGAGGATCATGAAAGAAAATGGGCATCTTAAATGATATCTGCATGCAAGACTCGTCCAACAACAAAAGGCTTGGGAGCGTAAACTGAGAAAATAGTTTTAAAAGAAAACTTTTCCTCAATGATGAGGACACGTCACTCTCCAACATGTTTTGGATTTGAGATATATTTTTCCTAATTCGGAATCTATTAGATGTGATGATCTCTTTGTGTTCTTCCCTGTTTTTTGTTTTAGTTTTTAAGATGGATCCTCTGTACGATCCGTCAAAGATAATAATGTTGACCATGAACAAGTTTTTTTAGTATGGTTTCATTTATCTTCAGTTTTTCTTGGACTAAATATTTTTATTTCTTAGACTCACCAAGATCTAATTTGAGTCTGATCCATTGTCTTCTAGATTATCTCAATAAAAAAAATGCCCCGTACTTGTATAGAACATGATAGGACCTAGTTAAATGTAAGAAGCAATCTAACTTGATGAACAAGAAACAAAAGCGGCAGCTCAACACCGACTTGGTTCCTTGTCTCCAATGGCTAGTAAAAATATTGTTTATGACCATCATTAATTTTTAAACCCTTTGATCCCAATTTAAAGTTAAATCAATGGTCAAGATTAGATGCAATAAAAAAACACTTGACCGTTAGAGACAGCACAAAGTTTCCTTAAAACATTATACCATTCGCAATTTACACTCAGAAAATTAGGGTTTTTTCTTCTGAGAGAAGCAAAGAGATTTTGAAATCGGAAGAGTAATTTGCGTTGTGTCCGGGATTTCTTTCCATCTCTGTTAGCGAGTGTTGGAGGAGCGTTACTTCAGATCACAAAAGAAGAAGAAGAAGAAGAAGAAGAAGAAGAAGAAGAAGGTTTTACATATGGCGTCGTCTAGAGTCTCTGATCTTCCTCAACAACGTGGAATCGATCTGTTGTATCTTAGAGTTTTGATTTTGGTTAATATTTCCAATGATTTCTTTGTGCTTAATTGATTTTTTTTGTCCTTCTTTTGATTATCTCTGTTAACGAGTCTTGGAGGAGCGTCATCTAGAGTCTCTGATCAACGTGGAATTGCAGGTTTTTGTTTCTGGATCTTTAATTAATTTATCTCTTATGTACGTTTTTAATTTGATCTTTGTAATTTTTTTCTTTGATTTCTTGCAATTACGTGGGTTCTTGTGGAATTTTGTTTTCTATTTGATTGAGATTGAAATTATCTCTTAGAAACTTGACGCAATTTTGATACACATTGTTTAAATTTGTTATGGGTCTTGTTTGATTGATGTGTTGTATCTTAAAGTTTTGATTTTGGTTAATATTTCCAATGTTTTCTTTGTTCTTAATTTCCAATTAGTTTGATTCAGATTGAAATTATCTCTTGGAAAAGTGACGCAGTTTTGATATAGAATTTGTACTGAGTGTTCATGATTTGATCTGATCTGACAAGACTTCGAATTTCTATTAGGCTAATTACTGATGGGTTTGTACTTTTTTTTTTTTGGGCAAACCGATTTTATATAAACTAACAGAGTTGTTACAGAGCAGGGCTATTTAAGGAGGCAAGAGCTGCCTTAGCCATACCATCAGCTAATACATTAGCTTCACGGGGAATAAAAGAGAAAGTACAGGAAACAAAAGAATGACAAAGCAAGGCAATATCATGGAGAATTCCTTGTAGCTCATTCGTAGAGGTCTCTGTATTGAGCAGAGATATGAGGACTTGAGAGTCAGAAAAAACATTGATGGAGGTGACTTCCATTCTAGACGCTGCGGTCAGCGCATACTTCATTGCTAGAGCTTCAGCTGCAAGGGCTGAAGGTGTATGGCGGCGAAAAGCCGAGCCCCGATGGATAACTCTATGTTGAGTCTTGAAAATCCATCCCATACCACATGAGCCAGAGGACGCATTCCAGGCCGCGTCCGTAAAACAGAGCAGGACCTCATCAGGAGGTAATGCTTGAGTAGAGTCCTCAATATGAGGTATAGCGAGAGTAGCATCCTCAATAAGAGGTACGTGGATCAAACTAGCCTCAGTAGGAGGTACATTTGTGGTTCTACAACGTTGTGGAGTCTTCACTATGGGTTGTGCTGCTTGCCATTCCTTGGCTGCTACAATGGCCTTTGTAATTGTCTCCTCTTCTGTAATAATACGATTTTCAAATATCAATAGATTGCGTGACTTCCATATATACCATAGGATCCAATGGTAAAGAGAGGAGTGAGTAATGCCCAACGGAGGAAGAGCTTGGGTCTGTCTCGCCGATGTCAGCAGAGAACCAAGAGAGCTAGATGACTCTGATCTTGGTGTGCGGTGGAGAGGAGCAAGGTCCCAGACTCTCCGCGCAAAGGAGCAATGGATCAAAATATGCAGCTCTGATTCTCTCTCTCCACATCTCTTACATAGCAAGTCACTCACAATACCGCGACAACTCAGATTGTTGCCAACAGAGAGAGCTTTGCGTTTGACCTTCCATAAGAACATCTTCAACTTAGGGGGTATGCGGATCTTCCAAATGTTGAGCTGCCAATTAAAGTTTTCAGAGATAGGAGCGTTTGAGTTTAATTTAGCCAACATATACCCTGTTTTTGTAGTATAAAAACCTTTTCTCTCTGGTAACCACACAAGTGCATCCTTCTTCTTATTAGAGCTAGGAATCAATTTGCATATAGACTCCTCATACTGAGGTAGGTGCTTTTGAATAGCTGCTGCATTCCAGTCGTTAGTCTCCGGTTGCAAGAGAGCACTGACTTTGAGATGACGGTTCTCTTCAGTCGGTGGACCAATTGGTAGACGGGGCAGATCTGTAGATAACCAGGGGTCTTTCCAGATATTAATAGATGAGCCATCACCTACTGTCCAACCTAGACCTTTTAAGAGCACCTCTCTCCCTGCCAAGATGCTCCTCCACCCATGGGAGCAAGAGGAAGAGGCTGTGACTTCTAGGAAATTTTTCTCAAGACAGTATTTACCCAAAAGTACACGAGCTAGCAAGGAGTCAGGGAAGTGAAGAATTTTCCAGCTTATACGACCCAAAAGAGCATCATTAAACTGCTCTATCTCTCTGAAACCTAAACCTCCCTCAGACTTGGGCAGTGTTAAAGTGTTCCAAGCTACCCAACTAATTTTGCGCTTATCCGGTTTATCATCCCACCAAAACCGAGTCAGAATAGACTGGATTCTTTTGCAAAGGGATAGCGGCAGCTTGAAGCAAGACATAGCATAGAGTGGCATCGCGGCTAGGACTGATTTGAGTAGAATTTGTTTACCCGCAGCGGATAAGAATCGAGAGGTCCAACTGTGAGAACGCTGGCGTATACGGTCCACGTGGAATCACAGGTTTTTGTTTCTGGATCTTTGATTTGATGTTGGTAATTGTTTGATTTCTTGCAACTGCGTGGCTTATTTCTTGAAATTATCTCTTAGAAACTTGAAGCAATTTTGATACAAATTGTTTAAATTTGTTATGGGTCTTGATTGATTGATCTGTTGTATCTTAAAATTTTGATTTTGGTTAGTATTTCCAATGTTTACTTTGATTTTCTCCAACAATTAAATGGTTCTTGAGTTTTTTTTCTTTGATTAATTTCTGTTTTTTTCCAATTGTTTTTAATTTGATTCTGGAATTGTTTTCTTTGAATTTATTTTATCTTTGATTTCTTGCCATTGCATTGGTCTTGTGGATGTTTTTTTTTATTGGTTTGATTGATATTGAAATATCTTTTAGAAACTTGACGCACTTTAGATACAAATTGTCAAATTGTTACAATTTGTTATGGATCTTGATCGATTGATCTTTCGTATCTTGAAATTCTGTTTTTTGGTAAATATTTCCATTTCCATTGTCTTGGAAAAGGACCTCCCTATTTATTGGGAAAGGGTAGTCGGGTATCGGGATAAGGTCTATTTCCTCAAATCTCGGGCTTGAATTTTCAAATTGCCTATATCTTCGGATTTTCTTTTTTTTGTTCGGGAAAAGGAACAATTCTTTTTTATCTTAGGAGGTCGGCAAGAGCTTCCCGGGCACTCATGGGCCGATTATCGGTTTGGTAGAATTATTCTGGTTTAAGTCGGGTTTGTTATGGGTGCCAAATTCCGCACCAACAATTAGTCCCCCCTCAGTTCGGTGAATGAGAATGCGAATTAGAAGAAAAAGTAGCTCGTCTTGAATCAAGAATAATCAGAAATTGCGAGCGAAGTTTAGGTGATGAGCTGCGATGTTTGGATGAGCTGCTAGGTAGGCAACATGAAGTATTTAACGAGCTGTGAGTTAGGCAAAGCATGAGTTGCAGAGCTGCGATGAGTGAACTGTGAAGCATGAGCTGAAGAGCAGCGAATCATGAACAATGTTGAGTTGTGAAACATGAACTGCATTGAGCTTGAAAGATGAGCTGCAAAACATGAACTGCGTTGAGCTGGGATGAATGAGCTGCGATGAGATGCTGAGGATGAGCTGCGAAGCATGAACTGCGTTGAGCTGCGAAGGATGAGCTGCGATGAGCTGCTAAGGATGAGCTGCGATGAGCTGCTAAGGATGAGCTACGAAGTATGAACTGCGTTGAGCTACGAAGGATGAGCTGCGAAGCATAAGCTGACAGATGAGCTGCCAATGATTTGACTGACGAGCTGCGAGATGACCTGCCAGATGATCTGACTGACGAGCTGCGAGATGAGCTGCCAAATGGGCAGATTGGCGAACAGTCATGATAACTTGGGTTAGCAGAATATGTGAGCTTTGAGCTTATCTTTTGTAGTTAGGTGCGAGGCAAGCTCGGCTTATCCTATTACAATGACGTAGTGCAAGATGTGATCTCGGCTTTTTTGCAAAAGATTTATTCGTGTAATTGCGAGCGTTGAGCTCGGCTTATCTATGAGAAGTGTTCTCAGCTTTTGAATGTAGCTAGCTCGATGCTAGGCGAACTAGGCTTTTTGAGTCGGAATTTAGTATTGAGCTTAGTGTAAAGCTCGGTTTTGACAATCGACAGATGTGAAGATTAAATGATAAAGTGTAAAGCACGAATACTTATCTCGATGAAAGCAGAGATGGGGTGATGGATGTCACCAAGCTTGAGAGGACGATCTGTTTGTGTCTTCAAACTTTTAGTTTCTTTTTAGAGTCTTCCATGTAAGAGGTCGGCTCGTAGTTGAAGCATTGATTTCATGCAAGCCTGAACTTGGTTTGTATTTGTGTTCAAATGCGAGATTATGTCTTTTTATTCTCTAAAATATTCGGATGGGAATATAAGTGAAGCGGGCTAGGCTTATGTTTTAGGTACGAGGCCGTGCTCGGTTTGCCCTGTTGTAATTATTGGTTTAAGAAAAAGGTTGTGAGTTTTGAGCTCGGCTTTATTTAGACCATTAGGTACGATCTGCAGATCGGCTCCTGTCAATGTTGGAAGATTTTGGGAGACAGAGCTCGACTTATAGAAGGTCGAATGACCTTTGCGCTAAACACTACATGACCTGTTCTTCATGTATGTTAGGTCAAATTAGACAACAGTTTGCGAGACTGAGGGCTTCTAGTTTTAAATTTGTTTGTTCGACCTGTTATGTATATGAGGATGAATTCTGTTTAGAAATTCATTTGCGAGTTCAAATTTGGCTTCCAAGGCGGTTAGTTCGTAGTCAACGTAAAACGTTAGCCGACCTGTTCTTTATATGTCTAAGTTCGTATTAGAAAATAATTTGCAAGACTGATCTCGGCTTCTAAAATAAAGATTGATTCGGAGTTACTGGATGTCTCTCGGCTTATATCAGGTAATCTTATGCATAATTTAAAGATATTTTTGGGTTTTATACCTAATTATATGTGAGATAGATTTATTAGTGTATATTTAGAGAGGGTCCTTGTGGGTCCCTTGTCTTTGCCTCTCCATGCCATTTAACCATCATATCCTTGTGAACGAATTCTATAGTCCGTGCAGGAACATCCCACATGACTCGTCCAAGTGCGTTCAGCCAACGTATTCCAAGGACCACATCAAAACCGCTTAATGGAACTGTGAAACAGTCAGCCTCAAATTGATGGCCTTGTACCATCATTGAAAGACCCTTACATAGGCCACCTTACATAGGCCATCAACGGGACACTTACCACCATATCGTCGCCAATGCAACTACCCTGTCTCGTAGCCTCCATATCGGAATCCCTAGTTTTTCCGCCACACTACTCCTAATAAAATTGTGGGTGCTTCCTGTGTCTAACAATATCCATCCCGATCCATTGTCTATATTAGCGTTTACTTGAAAGGTGCTCTCATTCTGTTCTCCCTTCATAGCATTTAGCGAGAGCTTCAAGTCTTCGTCATCCTTCTCGATCCTCACCATCTAGGACAGGCCATATATAAAACAAAACATGCTTACATATGTGGCCCGGTGCAAAGAGGTCGTCACAATTAAAACATTACCCTTTTGATCTACTCTCTGCCATCTCCGACTCTGTCAATTTCTTCCATAAATTCTGTCTCTGATCTGCTGGTCGTGTTTGGAGAGAATCTCCGTCTTTCCCTCTTTGCGATCCCCGATATCCCGATAATATTGGCTTGGAGATCAGAGCAGAATAGCATGCCGTTGGTGCTGTATGACCTCCGAAAGTTCGAACCCGTTTGTCACCCTCGATTTTGTACTCATTGTCCCTTGCATACTCCATAGGTTTAAAGATTATTTCAGGTCTCAAATACTCAACCTCCTTCCTCAAAGAATCCGTTAACCCTACGCAGAACAACCTTAGTTGTTGTTCCCCTTTTAACTTTGTTTGTCTCCCCAAACACTCCTTAAACTTCTCACAATATTCATCCACCGTGTCGGTGTGTCGTAGATTACTTAGTTATCCGGTCGGATTAATTGTGTCTGCTCGTCCAAACATGCTTTTACAAATCTTCTTAAATTATTCTCGGCCTAGTCGATGAGTAATTAGTCTTCGCAAGTTATTGTGCCAATGATATGCCTTCCCCGTCAAAACAAAGGTTGCTTGACGCACTTTCGCATCATCATTGTATATTTCTTGGTCATCGAAGTAATCCTCACACTTTTGCAACCACTCAATTGCTTTTGTGGATCCATCGTAGGTAGAAAATTCCATCTTGGATGGAGGTACCATGATCTTCTCAAGCTCTTTTCATGCGCTCTCTTTCCTGTCAGCTCCACTCTTTCTACTAACTCCTTTTGGTACCTTGGAATCTCCCATCCAGGATCCCGGTTTGTCTTCTTCAGAAACGTGACCAATCTGTCTTACGGTCCACTCACCACCACCGTCTGTCAAGCGATGCCAATGTTCCTTTCCTTCCGCACGTTTAGCCCAAGGTCCACCAGAATGAGTGCTATGCTGTTCTCTGCTGCTTATTATCCCTCCCTCGCTGATGTCGTTTTTCCGTTGCAGTTTGAACACAGAGGCTGCTTCACTTTCTTCCTCTCCCGCGTCGACTCCAAAAACAAAGGCTGTTGATAACCTCTTCCTTCTCCACCCTTCATAGTTTCTTTGATTTTTGCTTGTTCTTCACGAATTTCTTCCACCATTGATTTGGTCTGTTCTCGCTCTTCCTGCTGGTCTGCGATGATTGTCTCAAGAGCGATTTGTTGGGCAGTTGATGCATCTTTGAGTTCTCCCATAGCGGTCTGTGCTTGTCATCTGCTTAAGCTGTTCAAACTGTGACGTTGACAATCCTCCTTCTCCCATTGGATCGTTCGTCTCTATACCAAATTGTTATGAGCCAAAGCTTTCTTTGCCTTAGCTCGAGTAAAGCTTTGCTTCCTTTAACCCTAGTCTCTTGCTTGAGAATAAGGTTAATTGTTGGAAGATAATTATTATTGATGTTTAGAGGTCCTTTTATAGACGACCTCTTCACATCCGATTGAAACCATAATTAAAAAAAGAAAACTATCAAAACTTTAATCTAATATTAAAAAGAAACATAAGACTTGGAGTTCTCAAGTCTTGGGATTTCGTCTTTGATACGTGAGTCCGTATCTCGTATCAGTAACCCTCAACATGGTTTAAATAGGCTCTTTCGTCTCTATTTATATAACATGTCTCAGAGTCGGGGAAGAGTTTATCGAGATTTCGGTGGTTTGATTCAGCATTATCACAACATTTAAGGCTTTTGTAATTCCAGTCCTACTATCTATTAAACCATTTTATGTAATTATGTTCATATGAAGTACCTTAAGGTCTCTATGGTAGACACCTCTGCTATGAGGGTAGTCCACTGCATGTATAAGCTGTTGGAAATATCTCCGCGCCTCGTTTTCTTATCAAAGATGATAAATATTTTCGTCTTACTTGCCATCACCTGCAACAACAACCAGTACAATTTCGAAGTATGTAACTTCCAAGTACATAATCAAACAAAACATTTATATACAAAAGTGTATATAAAGTACATAATCAAACAAAACATTTAATCAAACAAAACATTTATCTTTAACAAAGACCTGTTCAGCCATTTTATGGTTGAGAACTTTGTCTTTATCAAGAATCTTGAGAGCAACAGGTTCTCCAGTTTCAGAGTTTCTAGCAAACTTAACTTTAGCAAAAGTTCCTTCTCCAATTGTTCTTCCAACTTCATATTTACCTACTCTACGCTTCACTTGCTTCCTCCGATTCATTCCTTAACAAAGATTACTCAGAACAAAGGAGGAAACTTTTAGAGGATTTGATTAGAAACAAGAAAAGGGTAAAGAAGAAGCAAGACACAGAATATCTCAATCTATATATATAACATTTTACTTTATTTAAAAAGCAGAAAAGAACCTTAATTTATTTGTTGGAGACCAACACAGAAGAAAAGATCTGATAGCTACAGAGAGATGTGTCACTTTTATGAGTTCCAAATTTGGATGAAAACAGAACACTATCAAAGAAAGAGACCAGAGATGTGTAAAATCACCTAACAAATTTCACGACAGTGATAAGATTTCCAATGTCTCCAAGAACTTTCCGGTTTTGTCTTCCAATTTCCAAGCAACATTCTGCGATTTGATTTCACCTAACAAATTCAATTATAGCACAAAGCCATCAGTAATTAACCTAACAGAAACTTGCAGTCTCATCAGATCAGATCAAATCATGAACACTCAGTACAAATTCTATATCTAAACTGCGTCAATTTTCCAAGGGATAATTTCAATCTGAATCAAACTAATCAAAAACAAAGAAAACGTTGGAAATATTTACCAAAATCAAAACTTTAAGACACAATTATCAACCGATCAATTTAAACAATTTGTAACAAAATTGCGTCAAGTTTCGATCTTTCAAACAAAGAAAACAGTATTGACAGATTGAGATAATTTCAATCTCAATCACGTAATTGCAATAAATCAAAAGACAAAATCAAAGAAAACAATTACAGAGATCAAATTAAATTAATCAAAGATCGAGAAACAAAAACCTGCAATTCCACGTTGATGAGGAAGATCGGAGACTCTTCTTCTTCTTCTTCTGAAGTAACGCTCCTCCAACACAAATCAAATTAAAAGGTAAAACAAATCAATTGATCAAGATCAGTGACAAATCATGAGTTTATAAGGAGAAATCAGAAACAAAACCTGTGATTCCACGTTGATCAGAAACTCTAGACGCCTTTATATCTGAACCTTGTTGTTGTTCTTCTTCTTCGGTGATGAAAAGACCCAATAACACGCCACTCTCTCTTCAGATATCAAAATCTCTTTGCTTCTCTCAGAAGAAAAGCCCTAATTTTCTGAGTGTAAATTGCGAATGGTAAAATGTTTTAAGCAAACTTTGTGCTATCTCTAACGGTCATGTTTATTTTTATGAATCGAATCTTTACCGTTGATTTAACTTTTAATAGGGATCCATGGGTTTAAAAATTAATGATGGTCAATTGGTCATAAACAATATTTTTAATAGCCGTTGGAGACAAGGAACCAAGTCGGTGTGGAGCTGCCGTTTTTGTTTCTTGTTCATCAAGTTAGAGGAAAAGTTTGTTTTTTTTTTCTTTCTATTTTCTCAGTTTACGCTCCCAAGCCTTTTGTTGTTGGACGAGTCTTGCATGCAGATATCATTTAAGATGCCCATTTTCTTTCATGATCCTCAGTGAGAAAGGTTTGATCAAGATTCATTGTTATATTATTACCATTCTTGTTTATGTCGACATCATCAAATGGTTTGTGCAGGTTGTGTTGTTAATTAGTAAATACTAGATCTCTTTAAAATATTTTGTTATCACTACTTGCCTGTAGAGAAAAACAAGAAACTTTATCGAATTAGCCACGAGAAAGAGAGAAATGATGCGATCATGTTTGCACGCAGTTTCACGGTTCCAATTCCTTATGTGTTCCTTGAGCGGTATGTTAAAACTTTTGTTCCATGTGACATGGAGATGGAGAAACTGGTGTTTTATCTAGCTGAGCTGGGATTATCTCAATAAAAAAATGCCCCATGCTTGCATAGAACAAGATAAGACCTAGTTAGATGTAAGAAGCAATCTAACTTGATGAACAAGAAACAAAAACGGCAGCTCCACACCGACTTGGTTCCTTGTCTCCAACGGCTATTAAAAATAATGTGTATGACCGTCATTAATTCTTAAACCCTTGGATCCCAATCAAAACTTAAATCAACGGTCAAGATTTGATTCATAAAAAAGAACATGACCGCTAGAGAGAGCAAAAAGTTTATTTAAAACAGTATCCTCCTTCAACGACAAATCTTCACCATTCGCAATTTACACTTAGAAAATTAGGGTTTTTTCTTCTGGGAGAAGCAAAGAGACTTTGAAATCTCCGGTGTATCTTTTCATCTCTGTTACTTCAGATCACCGAAGAAGAAGAACAACAACAAGGTTCCGATATAATGGCGTGGAATCGCAGGTTTTTGTTTTGATTTCTTTGGTTTTATCTCTGATTTCTTGCAATTTCGTGGGTTCCTGTGGATTTTGTTTTTCTATTTGATTGAGATTGAAATTATCTCTTAGAAGCTTGACGCAATTTTGATACAAATTGATTAAATTTGTTATGGATCTTAATCGATTGATCTGTTTATCTTAAAGTTTTGATTTTGGTTAATATTTCCATTGATTTCTTTGTGCTTAGTTGATTTTTTTTTATCCTTCTTTTGATTCAGATTGAAATTATCACTGTTAACGAGTCTTAGTGGAGCGTTACTTCATATCATAGAAGAAGGTTCAGATATGGCGTCGTCTAGAATCGCAGGTTTTTGTTTTTTTTTTTTAATTTGATCTCTGTAATTGTTTGCTTTGATTTAAAGATCGAAACTTGACGCAGTTTTGATACAAATTGTTTAAATTTGTTATGGATCTTGATCGATTGATGTGTTGTGTCTTAAAGTTTTGATTTTGGTAAATATTTCCAATTATTTTTATTCATATTGAAATAATCTCTTGGAAAATTGACGCAGTTTTGATATAGAATTTGTACTGAGTGTTCATGATTCGGTCTGATCTGATGAGACTTCCAAGTTTCTATTAGGTTAATTACTGATGGGTTTGTGCTATAATTGAATTTGTTAGGTGAAATGATACCGAAGAATGTTGCGGGACATGGAAGCCAAAACCGAAAAGTTCTTATCACTGGTCGTGAAGTTGATAATTAAATTCTTATCAGTTCTCTGAAAAGGTTTAGTATGATATGTAACTTGGTAAAAGTTTCATACCATTGAAACATAACTGATTGGATTCTTTCTTGTCTGGTTCACATTGTGCTCTTTAGTCTCTCTGTTTTGATGTCATCATGTCTGGATTTACTTAGTCAATGTCTTCTTGATTTCTTCAAGAAACTGAAGTTAGTACGTGTTTGTTTTCGTCTTCAGTGTAGGAAGCACAAAGATCTAATGACGTCTAGAGTCTCTAATCAACGTGTAGTCGCAGGTTTTTGTTTCTGATTATTTCTCCTTATAAACTCATGATCTTGATCAATTGATCTGTTTTAACCTTTTAATTTGATTTTGTAAAATATTTCCAATGTTTTCTTTGGTTTTTGAGTTTTTTTAATCAGAGAGTGGCGTCTGATTGTGTCATCTCTGATTAACTGTCTGATTCTTTTCATATTTGTTAACGAGTATTGGAGGAGCAGATAAAAGAAGAAGAAGAAGAAGGTTCAGATATAATGGCGTCTAGAGTCTCTGATCAACGTGGAATCACAGGTTTTGTTTCTCGATCTTTGATTTGATGTTGGTAATTGTTTTCTTTGGTTTTATGTTTGATTTCTTGCAACTGCCTGGCTTCTTGTGGAATTTTGTTCTATTGAGAATTTAAGATTTAAATTATCTATTAGAAACTTGACGCAATTTTGATACAAATTGTTTAAATTTAATATTTCCAATGTTTACTTTGATTTTCTCCAACGATTTTATGGTTCTTGAGTGTTTTTTCTTTGATTAATTTCTGTTTTTTTCAATTGTTTTTAATTTGATTCTGGTAATTGTTTTCTTTGAATTTATTTTATTTTTGATTTATTGCAATTGCCTTGGTCTTGTGGATGTTTTTTTTTTTATATGATTGATATTACAATGTCTTTTAGAAACTTGACGCACTTTAGATACAAATTGTTACAATTTGTTATGGATCTTGATCGTGAAATATGAGCTATAATTGAATTTGTTAGGTGAAATTATACCGAAGAATGTTGCGGGACATGGAAGCCAAAACCGAAAAGTTCTTATCACTGGTCGTGAAGTTGATAATCAAATTCTTATCAGTTCTCTTAAAAAGTTAAGTATGGTATGTAACTTGGTAAGAGTTTCATACCATTGAAGCATAACTGATTGGATTCTTTCTTGTCTGGTTCAAATTGTGCTCTTTGGTCTCTCTGTTTTGATGTCATCATGTCTGGATTTACTTGTCAATGTCTTCTTGATTTCTTCAAGAAACTGAAGTTAGTCCGTGTTTGTTTGTTTCGTCTTCAGTGTAGGAAGCACAAAGATCTTTACATGTGGATGGTAATGTCTCCAGCTTCTCTTATTTGGTTTCAAAATAAGTGACACGAGCTGATGGATCTAATCATATGTTGGGTAATAATGGGTTTATCAATTTGTATTGTCTCTGAGTTGTGTCTTTGTGTTTTTTTGGTGAAGTTCACACAATGGAGGAGCTGAAACTCACTGGAAACTTCTTAAAGAGATGTTATTCCTATTTCCATTCTCACTTTTGAATTGTGGATGATCCTTTTGTAGTCGCGGTTAGTTTAGTTTAAATCTTGAACTTTTAACATTTTAATGAATTTTGTTTTTTGCTTACAGATTTTTGGAATTTCCGAGGGACATAGAAAGTCTAAACCTTACCATGACCATGTGTTTGTTTTCTCCACTGTTGATGACCATATTTGTTTCCGTAACTACCAGGTTGGTTGAAAAGTTAACATCTCAGAGATCACATGTTCTCATTTCATTTGAGTCTCGAAACGGTTGAATTAACTAGCCAAGGTTTGAATTTTCTCCCGTTGCAGATATCGGTACCTCATAACGAGTTAGACAAGATTGCACGAGGTGATCTGGATAAAGTGACTCTTATTGAGGTCAGGCCATGACTATATTCTAACACTAATTTTGTCATTGGAAATCTTGTCACTGGTCGTGAGTAAACCACCCGGAAAGGTACACATCTCTTATCTCTTTCTTTGATAATGTTTTGTTTTCATCCAAATTTGGAACTCCTAAAAGTATTTGTTGGTGCGGGAATTAGAACCCACCACAATACCGGCCTAAACCAAAGAAGAAAATTCTAATAAATTGAACAATTCAATTAAACCGAGTTTTCTCGGTTTTACCTGTTAGTGGGCCATTGGGCTCGAAGCCCATGGAGGTCGCTAGCCGACCTCCCTCAAATCAATACGATCTTCCAAGAGAAGAACCGGGCAAATGGTTAGTCCAAACGGAATCACCCCGCCAAGGATGCAACCACTAGTGAACCCAAACGATATCAACCCTGCCAGGCACGCAACTACCGATAAATCTGAATGGATTCATCCCACATGCTATCTAACCACCCAGAAATCTAACCGGCGGTGAACAACAACATGAAGTATCGGTTTCGTACAATTATTCTTGGTTTAAGTCGGGTTTGTCGTGGTTTCTAAATCCCGCACCAACAATTAGTCCTCCCCTCAGTTCGGTGAATGAGAATGCGCATAATGCGAATTAGAAGAAAAAGTAGCTCGTCTTGTATCAAGAATAATCAGAAATTGTGAGCGAAGTTTAGTTGATGAGCTGCAATGTTTTGACGAGCTGCTAGGTAGGCAACATGAAGTATTTGACGACCTGTTGAGCTGTGAGTTAGGCAATCTGATGAGCTTTGAGATATGCAGGCTAACGAGCTGCAAATTATGAGCTGAAGAACTGCGAATCATGAGCTTTAGGCGATGAGCTACAATGTTTTGACGAGTTGCAAGGTAGACAACATGAAGTATTTGACGAGCTGCTGAGCTGTGAGTTAGGCAATCTGATGAGCTTTGAGATGATATGCAGGCTAACGAGCTGCGAAACATGAGTTGTGAAATATAAGATGCGACTAAAGAGCTGTAAAATATGAGCTGAAGAGAAAGAGCAGCGAAACATGAGCTTAAAAGTTGCAGTGAGTGAGCTGCGAAGCATGAGCTGAAGAGTTGCAAATATGAATTAGATCGTAATGTTCTCATTGATTGCCTCCTTGTAGAATCTGATCGTTCTGTCGTTATATGTGAATTTCCAAGCGTAGTAAAAATCTTTCTTCTTCATCAAACCATCTCTCAAGGGTGTACCCGTCTCCTGGAGTTTAGAGAGGGTCCTTGTGGGTCCCTTGTCTTCTCCATGCCATTTAACCATCATATCCTTGTGAACGAATTCTATAGTCCGAGCAGGAACATCCCACATGACTCGTCCAAGTGCGTTCAAACAACGTATTCCAAGGACCACATCAAAACCGCTTAATGGAATAGCGAAACAGTCAGCCTCAAATTGATGACCTTGTACCGTCATTGAAATACCCTTACATAGGCCATCAACGGGACACTTACCACCATCAGCCAATGCAACTACCCTGTCTGGTCGCCTCCGTATCGGAATCCCTAGTTTCTTCGCCACACTACTCCTAATAAAATCGTGGGTGCTTAATGTGCCTAACAATATACATCCCGATCCATTGGCTATATTATTGTTTACTTGAAAGGTGCTCTCATTCTGTTCTCCCTTCATAGCGTTTTGCGAGAGCTTCAAGTCTTCGTCATCCATCGGTTCATCTTCCGGATCCTCACCATCTAGGACAGGCCATATATAAAACAAAACATGCTTACATATGTGGCCCGGCGCAAAGAGGTCGTCACAATTAAAACATTACCCTTTTGATCTACTATCTGCCATCTCCGACTCTGTCAATTTCTTCCATAAATTCTTCTTATGTAAATTTTGTCTCTGATATGATGGTCGTGTTTGGAGAAAATCTCCGCCTTTCCCTCTTTACGATCCCCGATATCCCGATAACATTGGCTTGGAGATCAAAGCAGAATAGCATGATGTTGGTGCAGTATGACCTTCGAAAGTTCTAACCCGTTTGTCACCCTCGATTTTGTACTCATTGTCCCTTGCATACTCCATAGCTTTAAAGATTGTTTCGGGTCTCAAATACTCAACCTCCTTCCTCAAAGAATCCGTTAACCCTGCGCAGAACAGCCTTAGTTGTTGTTCCCCTTTTAACTTTGTTTGTCTCCCCAAACACTCCTTAAACTGCTCACTATATTCATCCACCATGCCGGTGTGTCGTAGATTACTTAGTTCTCCGATTGGATTAATTGTGCTTCTCGTCCAAACCTGCTTTTACAAATCTTCTTAAATTCTTCCCGGCCTAGTCGATGAGTAATTAATCTTTGCAAGTTATTGTGCCAATGATATGCCTTCTCCGTCAAAACGAAGGTTGCTTGACGCACTTTTGCATCATCATTGTATATTCCTTGGTCATCGAAGTAATTCTCACACTTTTACAACTACTCAATTGCGTTTGTGGGTCCATCGTAGGTAGAAAATTCCATCTTGGATTGAGGTACCATGATCTTCTCAAGCTCTTTTCATGCGCTCTCTTTCATGTCAGCTCCACTCTTTCAACTAACTCCTTTTGGTACCTTTGAATCTCCCATCCACGATCCGGTTTGTCTTCTTCCGAAACGTGACCAATCTGTCTTACGGTCCACTCACCACCACGGTCTGTCAAGCGATGCCAACGTTCCTTTCCTTCCCCACGTTTAGCCCAAGGTCCACCAGAATGAGTGCTATGCTGTTCTCTGCTCATTATCCCTCCCTCGCTGATGTCTTTTTCCGTTGCAGTTTGGACACAGAGGCTGCTTCTCTTTCTTCTTCGCCCACGTCGACTCCAAAAACAAATGCCAGCGATTGGATTTTGTTGATAACCTCTTCCTTCTCCACCTCATATTTTCTTTGATTTTTGCTTGTTCTTCACGAATTTCTTCCACCATTGATTTGGTCTGTTCTCGCTCTTCCTGCTGGTCTGTGATGATTGTCTCAAGAGCGGTTTGTTGGGCAGTTGATGCGTCTTTGAGTTCTCCCATAGCGGTCTGCTGCGGCTCAATTTTCTTGTTCATCTATGTGCTTATCATCTGCTTAAGCTGTTCAAACTGTGACCTTGACAATCCTCCTTCTCCCAATGGATCATTCGTCTTTGATACCAAATTGTTATGAGCCAAAGCTTTCTTGGGCTTAGCTCGAGTAAGAGGGCCTAAGTAACTTGACTCCGTGATGTTAAGAATGAAAACGGTAAAGCTTTGCTTCCTTTAACCCTAGTCTCTTGTTTGAGAATAAGGTTAATTGGTGGAAGATAATTATTATTGATGTTTAGAGGTCCTTTTATAGACCTCTTTACAACCGACTCAAACCATAATTAAAAATAGAAAACTATCAAAACTTTAATCTAATATGAAAAGGAAACATAAGACTTGGACTTCTCAAGTCTTGGGATTTCGTCTTTGATACGTGAGTCCGTATCTCGTATCAGTAACCCTCAACATGGTTTAAATAGGCTCTTTTGTCTCTATTTATATAACATGTCTCAGAGTCGGGGAAGGGTTTATCGAGATTTCGGTGGTTTGATTGAGAGGAGCAGCATTATCAAAACATTAAGGCTTTTGTAATTCCAGTCCTACTATCTATAAAACCATTTTATGTAATTATGTTCATATGAAGTACCTTAACGTGTCTATGATAGACACCTCTGCTATGAGGGTAGTCCACAACATGTATAAGCTGTTGGAAATATCTCCGCACCTCGTTTTCTTTCGTCCGCCCATCATTTACCTTCATTCATATGTTACAAAATCAGATTCCAACTGTAATGTGACATCAAAAATTCACAATCATTTATAATTGTGCTTACTAACTTACAATCTTATCAAAGAGTTCTCCTCCTGTAACATACTCCAAGATGATCAATATTTTCGTCTTGCTTGCCATCACCTGCCACCAACCAAACCAGTTAGTAACTTCCAAGTACATAATCAAATAATACATTTATCTAAAAAAGTGTTAATTACCTCATACAATTGCACAACATTTGGGTGCTTAATCAACTTCATAGTAGCTATCTCTCTTCTGATCTGTACAATTCAATAAAGAGGCTTCACAAGATCAAAATCAACCGATTAAAAAAGAGCAATGCGAAAGCAGAGTATACATAATAACAACAAAGACCTGTTCAGCCATATATGCTTGAGAACTTTGTCTTTATCAAGAATAGAGCAACAGGTTCTTTAGTTTCAGATTTTCTAGCAAACTTAACTTTAGTAATAGTTCCTTCTCCAATTGTTCTTCCAACTTCATATTTACCTACTCTACGCTTCACTTGCAAGACAGAGAATATCTCAATCTATATATAACATTTTAGTACTTGATTTAAAAAGCAGAAAAGAACTGATAGCTACAGAGAGATGTGTCACTTTTATGAGTTCCAAATTTAGATGAAAACAGAACATTATCAAAAAAAGAGACCAGAGATGTGTAAAATCACCTAACAAATTTCACGACAGTGACAAGATTTCCAATGTCTCCAAGAACTTTCCGGTTTTGTCTTCCAATTTCCAAGCAACATTCTGCGATTTGATTTCACCTAACAAATTCAATTATAGCACAAACCCATCAGTATTAACCTAACAGAAACTTGCAGTCTCATCAGATCAGAGACTCTAGACGCCATATCTAAAACAAATCTGAAGTAACGCTCCTCCAACACTCGATAACAAAATAAAATTAAAAGGTAAAACAAATCAATTGATCAAGATCAGTGACAAATATATCATGAGTTTATAAGGAGAAATCAGAACCAAAAACCTGTGATTCCACGTTGATTAGAGACTCTAGACGCCATTATATCTGAACCTTGTTGTTCGGTGATCTGAAGTAACGCTCCTCCAATACTAGTTAACAGAGATGAAAAGACCCAATAACACGCCACTCTCTCTTCCGATTTCAAAATCTCTTTGCTTCTCTCAGAAGAAAAAACCCTAATTTTCTGAGTGTAAATTGCGAATGGTGAAGATTTGTCGTTAAGGAAACTTTGTGGTGCTGTCTTTAACGGTCACGTTTATTTTTATGAATGGAATCTTGACCGTTGATTTAACTTTTAATTGGGATCCAAGGGTTTAAGAGTTAATGGTGGTCATAAACAATATATTTACTAGCCGTTGGAGACAAGGAACCAAGTCGGTGTAAGAGCTGCAATTTTGGTTTCTTGTTCATGAAGTTAGATTGCTTCATACAAGTTTTTTTTTTTTTTTTCTATTTTCTCAGTTTACGCTCCCAAGCCTTTCGTTGTTGGACGAGTCTTGCATGCAGATATCATTTAAGATCCTAGAGGTTGTGTTGTGTTGTGTTGTTAATTAGTAGATTTGTTATCACTACTTGCCTGTAGAGAAAAACATGAAACTTTATCGAATCATGCTTGCATGCAGTTTCGCTTGTGAGTGTAATGTAAGTAATTTTCGGTTTTATCAACGAAGATGGAGTTGGAAACTATACTTTTGTAGAAGAGATATTGATGTGAGTATGAAATTGATGTGTTGCAGGTGACACTTGGCGGCCCAGGCAACAAAACAGAGACTGTCAGACGGGCCAAAGTCCCTGAGAGTATTTTGGTTTGTAGTTTATAAGCATTTGTTTGAATTAGACTTATTGTCAGTTGATCAGTGAAGGAAGAGGTTTGTTTTTAGTCAATTTTTTTTTTGTAATTGCTAGATCAACAAAGCCAACACTAACCCTCAAATTCAATTTCGAAGGAAGAGATAAACGAAGCTATGTCTTTAGATTTGAAACCAAAGCTTCCATTTTCATTCATAATTGAAGCTCAGTTTATCTTTGGAGAATTTCTGCTTCTCATGTTAATATTAATACATCAAAATCTATTTCACTGATCTTGTTGCACTTAGTTTTGTAACACTTTATTTTCTGCAGTGCAAATATCTTTAACCTATAAGATATATGTGACAAAAGGAATAGCTATATCAGTATAAAGCTCAAACGCAATTAGAGGAATCCAAGAGAAACTGAAGAAAGATAAATGAAACTACACTGAAAAAACTTGTCCATGGTCAACATCAATATCTTTGACAGATCTAACAGAGGATCCAATGTAAAACCAAACAGAAAAAGGGAAGAACACAAAGAGATCATCACAACTACATGATCTACAAAAGAAGACTAGGGTTTTGTTTCTTCATGAACAAGAAACAGATAAGTCATCAAGCGAAGGAAGAAGAGCAACTTCAGCTTTTTCTGCGACAGAGTATTTCTTGAACACTGCTATTAGCTTACTCTCTGAAGCCAATGTCCTTAACTTCATTAGCCTTTTCGCATGTTCCCTGAAAAAAAACAAACCAAACCATTGTTAATCCATGACTGCAAGTTATATATCGATATGAACCCTCTACATCATCACCGCTACCATACTTTGATCATTTGGTTGTTATTCTTACTCGAGATCACCACTAAATTAATACGAGAGACGACAACGTCATGAGTAAAAACACTTATCCATCACTTGCGACACCGTCGTTCATGTGATCATCACCAACTCATCGCATCTCCGACATCTCGTGTCGTCACAGCTCACAACCCTAGAGTCACAACACTAATCAACCGTCTGCTTCTCAGATTTCACCTTACAAGGGTTCACGTCGTCATCTAATGCGTCTCTTTCACTAGATCCTATTGGGCCACATATGGGCCTCGCAATGTCTTTCTTAGCCCATACGTTTATATTGTATATCGTCGTTTAGGTTAAACGTGTTCTCATACTCTGTTTTGTATATAAGCCGTTTGGCTACGATCAATGAAAGTAAGCAAACCTTTTATCACTTCTGTAGGTTTCTTGACATGGTATCAGAGCCTAGATCTGACCTCTCTTGATCTAGGTTTCAATTAATTTCCGCTTATTTACTTCGTTCTTTGACCTAATCTTTGTTAAAATCTCTGTTAACAAAGAAATTTCTTAAAAAGATAATGAGTGCATCATCATCTTCTTCTTCAACGAGCTCTGCTCTTTCTTCTACATCCGTTGACACCAAAAGGAAGACAATTTCTCCATATGACTTGTCTTCCAGTGATAATCCAGGCATCATAATCTCGAGACCTTTACTGCGCGGTCCGAACTATGAAGCTTGGGCAACAAACATAAGATTGGCTTTAACTGCTCGCAAGAAATTTGGATTTGCTGATGGATCCATTCCAAAACCAGGAGAAGATTCTGAAAATTTCGAAGATTGGGTTGCAAACAACGCTTTGGTGGTCTCGTGGATGAAGCTGACCATTGAAGAAAATATCTCAGACTCTATCTCTCACTTGGATGATTCACACGAACTCTGGACACACATACAAAAACGTTATGGCGTGAAGAATGGGCAGAGAGTTCAAAGATTGAAGACTGAATTGGCAACATGTCGCCAAAGAGGAACGAGTCTCGATGAGTATTACGGCAAACTCTCGAGTCTGTGGAAGAGCTTGTCAGATTATCAACAAGCAAAAACAATGGAGGATGTTCGAAAGGAGAGAGAAGAGGACAAGCTGCATCAACTATTGATGGGTCTTGACGAGTCGATTTATGGCACGGTAAAATCATCACTTCTCTCTCGTGTTCCTTTGCCATCCTTGGAAGAGGCATATAATGTGTTGCAGCAAGAAGATGAATCAAAATCGGCGAGTCGTTTTCACGCTGAGAGGACTGATGGCGTGAGCTTTGCGGTCCAAACACAGTCACGACAAGTTTCATATGAGGACCACCGAAATCACACTTGCAAACTCTGTGGGAAAATTGGCCACTTCGATGAAAACTGTTTCAAAAAGATTGGATATCCACCATGGTGGGTAGAGAAGCCAAGAAACAAATCGAATCAAGCATCCAACGGTGGTCGCGTGACAACTTCAGCTCCATTACAATCCTCACGTGGTCGTGGATCTGCGGACGTTTCTCGCGGCGGCCAAGCTAATGCCATGGTGGTTTCTCGTCCTTCGGTCTCAGCATTAAACACCACCGTGATAACTGATTCTGATAGAGTGGGATTAAGCGGGCTGAATGACCACCAATGGAAGTCGTTGGTTCAGATGCTTGAAGAGAGACAACCCACATCGACAGATCGTCTTAACGGTACGTGGTTTCTTGAATCTTGGATTATAGACACTGGGGCTTCTAACCACATGACAGGTTCATTAGATTTTTTGAATGAAGTTTGCGACATGCCTCCAGTCTTAATTAAACTTCCGGATGGTCGATTTACTACTTCGACACGTCAAGGAACAGTTCAGTTGGGCTCTTCTCTGCGGTTGTCTGCAGTGTATTTAGTTGATGAGCTGAAATGTCATTTAATCTCCGTATCACAGCTGACTCGTGATAGTGGTTGTGTGTTTCAGATCACTGATCGTCTATGTGTGGTCCAGGAGCGCATTTCGAGGACGGTGATTGGTGCGGGTGAGCAGAGAAACGGGTTATATTTTTTTCGCGGTGTTGCGGTTGCGTCGGCAGTACAAAGGATGGCTTTACAACCTTTGGAGTTATGGCACAAGCGTTTAGGACATCCTTCTTCTAAAGTTTTGAATTTGTTGGAGTTTTCTAGTAGTTGTAGTTCTTTCGATTCACACTCTTGTGAGATTTGTATTCGCGCAAAACATTCAAGAGATTCTTTTCCATTAAGCAATACTACTTCTCACAAGGCTTTTGATCTAATTCACTGTGATCTTTGGGGACCATATCGAACTACGGCACTATGTGGATCCCGATTTTTCTTAACCATTGTTGACGACTACTCACGTGCGGTTTGGATTTATCTTCTCACGTCTAAACAAGAAGCTCCAACGCATCTTAAAAATTTTTTGGCTCTCGTTGAACGTCAATTCTCAACACAAGTTCGCACGGTACGTAGTGACAATGGGTCCGAATTCATTTGTCTCCGAGATTTCTTTGCAGAAAAGGGAATTATTCATGAGACCTCTTGTGTTGGCACGCCACAACAAAACGGTCGTGTCGAACGCAAACACCAACACATATTGAATGTTGCCCGTGCACTTCGTTTTCAAGCAAATTTACCCATTGAATTTTGGGGATATTGTGCTCTCACTGCGGGGTACCTTATTAATAGAACTCCGACGAAGCTTTTACATGGGAAAACACCGTTTGAGTTGGTATATGGACGGCCTCCTCCGCTTGATCACCTACGGGTTCTCGGGTGTCTCTGTTTTGTCCATAACCAGAAACATGGAGGAGATAAATTCACCTCAAGAAGTACAAGGTCTGTGTTTTTGGGATATCCTTTTGCGAAAAAAGGTTGGAGAGTATATAATTTGGATACTAGAGTTGTGTCAGTTTCACGTGATGTCATATTTAAGGAAGATGAATTTCCTTTTGATATACTGGAAAATAATGAGATTAAAGATTCACAGTTATCACCAGTTGTTCAAGCTCATGACGATGATCCCCTAGCTGCAGATATCATTTCGTCTCCTCCGGATTCAACGTTACCACCACACGTTGTCACTACCGGCGAGCTTTGTGAGACTGATGAACCCGTGACTCCAACATCAAACGTTGCACCATCAGCTCTCACGTTTGATCCGTCGACTCCAAATTCTGCAACTCCGATATCTCCTGTCCCGTCACTTACACCTCTGTCCCCTGTTTTGAGTTCACCGGAAAAATCAATGGAATCACCAACTGCATCGATTTCATCTTCTTCTCCGGCTGCAACTGATTCTCCCGCTGTCACTGATTCTCCGGATGCAAATGACTCTCTGGCATCACATGATTCTCCGGCTCCGCCAATTCCCAGCCCTGAAAAGTTAGGACCAGGCCTCCGTAAAAAGAATCCACCGGTGAAGTTAGCAGATTACGTCACCATGTTGCTCCACCAACCGCATCCTTCGGTAACTCCATATCCCATTGATAATTTCTTGTCAAGTTCACGATTTACAGAACCATACCAAGCATTTCTTTTGGCTATCACTTCTGGAGTTGAGCCGCAGTTCTATAAAGATGCAATACTTGATGAAAAATGGAGAGATGCGGTACAAGATGAGATAGTTGCTCTTGAAGATAATGGCACATGGACTGTTGAAACACTTCCAAAGGGAAAGAAAGCATTGGGTTGTAAATGGGTTTTCAAATTAAAGTATCATGCAGATGGTACGTTGGAACGTCATAAAGCTCGGCTTGTCGTCCTTGGCAATAACCAAACAGAGGGTATTGATTTTAACGAGACGTACGCTCCGGTCGCAAAAATGGTCACTGTCCGAGCATTCTTACAACAAGCCGCATCCAATGATTGGGAAGTTCATCAAATGGATGTCCACAATGCTTTCTTACACGGTGATCTTGATGAGGAGGTATATATGCAATTTCCTCCGGGTTTTCGCACCGAGGATAAATCACAGGTTTGTCGTCTTAGAAAATCATTATACGGTTTAAAGCAGGCACCTCGTTGTTGGTTTGCAAAATTGGGAGCAGCCTTGAAGGAATATGGTTTTATTCAAAACGTGTCCGACTACTCCTTATTCACGTTTGAAGATTCTGTCTCCACGCTCAACGTCCTTGTTTACGTCGACGACATTATTATCTCCGGCAGTTCACTTGACATCATTGAAAAGTTTAAATGCTATGTAAGTGATTGTTTTCACATGAAGAATCTTGGTCTCCTTCGCTATTTCCTTGGTATTGAGGTCGCTCGCAATTCAACGGGTTTCTACTTATGTCAGCGAAAGTATACACTTGACATACTCACCACAACCGGTGTGTTAGGTGCTAAGCCGGTTGCTTTTCCCATGGTGCAAAACCACAAACTTGCATTGGCCAAGGGAAAGCCACTCATTGACCCTACTCGTTACCGTCGTCTCATCGGCAAGTTGATTTACCTTGGCGTTACGCGGCCTGAACTATCCTATGCGATTCACATTTTATCGCAGTTTATGAGCCAGCCCAAAGAAGAGCATTGGACAGCTGCCTTGCGAGTCCTTTGTTACTTGAAAAATACTCCGGGACAAGGAATCTTTCTACAAGCCAAAACACCACTTGTTCTCACTGCTTGGTGTGATTCGGATTGGAGCTCATGTCCTACTACACGTCGTTCTCTCACGGGTTGGTTCATTCAGTTAGGAGGATCCCCGATTTCATGGAAGACGAAAAAGCATGATGTTGTTTCACGTTCTTCAGCCGAGGCTGAATATAGAGCTATGGCCGATACGGTTTGTGAAATATTGTGGCTTCGTCAATTGTTACCAGCTTTGGGCATTGATTGCTCTGCTCCTACGGTTCTTCATTCCGATAGTCTATCTGCGATCAGCTTGGCCAAGAATCCGGTCTATCATGCACGCACCAAACATATCGAGAATGATAAACACTTCATTCGTGACGAGATCATCCGTGGCGCCATTGTTCCTAAACATGTCTCCACGACTTCGCAGCTCGCAGATGTTATGACTAAAGCTTTGGGAAAGACAGCTTTTGAAGCATTTCTTCTCAAGATGGGTGTTCGAAATCTCCACACTCCACCTTGAGGGGGGGTATTGGGCCACATATGGGCCTCGCAATGTCTTTCTTAGCCCATACGTTTATATTGTATATCGTCGTTTAGGTTAAACGTGTTCTCATACTCTGTTTTATATATAAGCCGTTTGGCTACGATCAATGAAAGTAAGCAAACCTTTTATCACTTCTGTAGGTTTCTTGACAGATCCACATAACATAGATCACCGGAACTTCACTACAGAACAAGCACATCCACTATGTACCACTGGAGATTTTTTCCACCAGTTACCGAATGTCAGCCGCTGTGGCCAGAGCAACCGTGACCAAAAATAGATTCATATATAGCAAAAAGAAAGAATTTAAAAGCAGTGTGGAGGAGGCATGTTCAGAGGCTCTCCAGCGCCAAAGGTAAAGTCTCCCAGCCAATATAATGGTACCACCGTGACAGCTATCAACCCAATATTCTAGTCAATAAAACAGAGGAGTTAGATCATCAACGAAACATGGTTAATCTCAAGGAAAGATTTGAAATATAATAACCTTGCTTCGAGCTCGTATCCAAGGGTTTAAAATGAGTGATAGTCATAAAACTGTAAATATTTTTACTTGCCGTTGGAGACAAGGAACCAAGTCGGTGTTGAGCTACCGTTTCTGTTTCTTGTTCATCAAGATAGTTTTCTTCATACATCTAATGATTTCCGAACCAGGAGAAATATCGCTGGTCTAATTAGTTAGAGCCAAATCACGTTGGAGATTGTTCTACTCATTAAGTACACATAATTCCTACATATATTCCTATATATCTCAAGTGCCACAAATTCAGTGTACGCTCCCAAGCCTTTTGTTGTTGGACGAGTCTTGCATGCAGATATTATTTAAGATGGCTATTATCTTTCATGATCATCAGTGTAATTCACGAAAGATTCCACGAAATTCATGAATTTTATGAAGGATTCCACGAAATTCAAGATTTCTTGAATTTCATGGAATCCTTCATGAAGTTCAAGGAATATTTCTTGAATTTCTTGGAATCTTTCCTGAATTTCGTGCATTTTTTTCGGAAAAAATTTGAAGACATTTTTTTGCCTAGAGCGGAAAATACTTAGGCGGATAAATTTTGACAGAAATTTTTTGGCGGAAAAATATTGATGGGAATTTTTGTTGGCCAATAAATTTGTGTATTTTTAAAATTTTCTGAATTATCAATTTTAATTAAACTATTGGTTTATATATAAATTTAAAGATCGGAGTCGTAGATAGCGAGAAGCTGAGCAGTGCCGGTGGGCCGTGCGGCCAAACCACTCCCTCTGCACCATGATTTATTGTAGTACTCAACCATGTTTTCCATTTTTCCAGCACAAAAGGGTTGGAGAGAAAAAGAGTTGGGGATTCTGTGTTATGCATATTAAAATGTACAACTCTATCTGCTTCATCTTTCATTTCATTGCTCGTTTTATGTTTCTTTTTGGGAAAAATCTAAGACTTATCCTCAATTAGCTGAGTTCAAAGGATAGTAGATGTGGTTAAACATACTAATGGAATAAACATGTCTTTCGAATACCTGAGAATGAGTATTTTTCGGAATTTTTGTTGCTTATGCAATTTAATCAAGAAACTGAGTTGATGTGGTTTTTGTGTCAGCGTGTAACACCGCAAGAGGTCTTCAAAGATGAATGGTTCAAGAAAGATTACAAGCCTCCTGTTTTCGAGGAGAAAGACTATTCAAACATGGATGATGTTGATGCTGTTTTCAAGGACTCTGGTGTAGATAGTTTTTCTTCTTCTTTTTCATTTTTCTTAAGAAAAGCATCACATAAGGCTTGTGATGATCATGTACAGGAACATCTTGTTGCTGAGAAAAAAGAAGAACAGCCAGCGGCAATGAACGCTTTTGAGATCATCTCAATGTCAAGAGGGCTTAACCTAGAGAATCTGTTTGATCCAAAACAGGTTTGTGTTTTGTGCTTGATATTGTTCCTATAAAGAAAACTGGCATTCTTTTTTTTTTGTAATCTGTTAATGAAATAATTTCTTTTAAAAAAAGGAATTTAAGAGGGAAACAAGGATAACACTAAGAGGAGGCGCGAATGAGATAATCGAGAAGACAGAAGAAGCTGCAAAGCCTCTCGGTTTTGATGTGCAAAAGAAGAACTACAAGTTTAGTGAAAACTATGAAAGTGGAATGATATTGAAATGAAATGAATCAATAACTAAGACATGGTATATTACATGGCTTGAGAATGTGAAGGCTGGGAGAAAAGAGTATCTCAATGTAGCAAAAGAGGTATGTTATATGAGACTGGAAATTCAAGAAAGTGTTGGTGATGGTTTATGAGTTTTTGATCTAGTGTGTTTTTTTTGTTTGTATGGTGTGTGACAAGCAGATATTCCAAGTAGCACCAAGTCTTCATAGTTTGGTTTCGACTAATATCATAGAATATGTATCCGGTTTAATGAGCTGATGGTGTGTTAGCAGTTCTATAAGCTCTCTAATTCTCTGGAGCAAGTAGTCTGGACAAACCACGAAGTTATGAGAATTTTATCTTTTGGGACCAAGCTTGCTTTCTGTTTATAAGAGCTTACTTTGTGTGGATTATGAGAAAGGGAAGTGGGATTGGTTTGTGTAAGAAAGGTGTAAATACGAACCGCATTACTCCATAAGGTGCTGCGATACCCCGTATAAAGTCGTATCAAAGCTTGTTGGCTACGGGTTTGAAAAGCATCCTAGTTTTAGTGGTACACTCTTATTCACGTTAAGTCCCTTTCACATTGTCAACAAACCGGGAAAAGAGAAAAAAACAGATGAATTGAATATTGCACTTGGATGAAACTCTGGGGAGAGCCAGCAGATTAGCTCGCAAGAAACTGTAGTTCTTATCGTTGTCCCCGTCAACACCAACTTTCAAGTTTCAAGACAGTCCAACTTCCCAAACAAATGCTCATCTGTTCAAGCTCTTGAAAAGAACCTCCATACTCTAAAATCCCTAGCTCCTTCACTTGACATGTCGATAAATAACACACTACAATCATCCTCTTTTTCATATTCATATGTCTTAGGGATGCAAGTGCACGCATCTCCGCATCTATTTGTACTCTGTGCAAAAGACTCTTGATGACTAAAGTGTGTAGATTTGGACATCTCTTGCGCAGAAGTGGCATTACTTGCCAACTTTTTTCCTTGTTACTCTCAAATGTATAAATTAAGGAGGTTCTTGAACATCGGCATGGATTCACAACAGAAATGAAACGCATCAAGGGAATCGGGAGACAAGTAAAGGGTCGTAATCTGGCGATTGATTACTTTTATTTATCCTCTGTGAAGAACATAGGATTCTTACAAGGTGAACCTGGAGATTCCTTGTTTTATGAACATCTGATGAAATTGAGAAAAAGCTGCAAACCGCATTTTAGCAGAAGAACTCGAGGAACCAAGACTTTTACAAAACCTTAAGAGCCCGAACCAAGGTAACTTAAATTTCAAATCTTTTGATGAGATCTAACTCCTCTGTTTCATTGTCTAACAGGCTGCGAGTAGACCGAATGATGTTGTGGTCGACATTGATGCTGCGGATGCTGATAACGAACTAGCTGCTGCGGAATACGTAGATGGCATCTTCAGGTTCTCAGAAAACGCTGAAGTTGCTCTTCTTCCTTGGCTGGACAACTTATCAGTTTCTTGAGCATGAAGGAACAAAACCCTAGTCTTCTTTTGTTGATCATGTAGTTGTGATGATCTCTTTGTTTTCTTCCCTTGTTTTTTTTTGGGTTTTTACATTGGATCCTCTATATGATCCGTCAAAGATAATGGTGTTGACCATGAACAAATTTTTTTTGGTGTGGTTTCATTTATCTTCAGTTTCTCTTGGACTAAATATTTTTATTTCTAGACTCTCAAATGATTTACCAAAAATTTAATTTGAGTCTGATCCAATATCTCCGAACCGATCAATAAAAAAATTCCCCGTGCTTGCATAGAACAAGATAGGACCTAGTTAGATGTAAGAAGCAATCTAACTTCATGAACAAGAAACAAAACCGCCGACTTGGTTGCTTTTCTCCAACGGCTAGTAAAAATATTGTTTATGAACATCATTAATTATTAAACCCTTGGATCTTAATTAAAAGTTAAATCAACGGTCAAGATTCGGTTAAGTTTCCTTAAAACAGTTTACCCTTCTTCAACGACAAATCTTCAACATTCTCAATTTACACTCAGAAATTAGGGTTTTTCTTCTGAGAGAAGCAAAGAGATTTTGAAATCTGAAGAGAGAGTGATTCAGAGTTATTGGGTCGTCTCCGATATATGTTTTCTTGTGCATGAAGAAACAAAACCCTAGTCTTCTTTTGTTGATCATGTAGTTGTGATGATCTCTTTGTTTTCTTCCCTTATTTTTTTTTTTGTTTTTATATTGGATCCTCTGTATGATCCATCAAAGATAACGGTGTTGAGTGTTGACCATGAACAAGTTTTTTTAGTGTGGTTTCATTTATCTTCAGTTTCTCTGGGACTAAATATTTTTATTTCTAGACTCTCAAATGATTTACCAAAAATTTAATTTGAGTCTGATCCGATCAATAAAAAAATGCCGACTTGGTTGCTTAGAAAAAGATAGGACCTAGTTAGATGTAAGAAGCAATCTAACTTCATGAACAAGAAACAAAACCGCCGACTTGGTTGCTTGTCTCCAACGGCTAGTAATAATATTGTTTATGGCCATCATTAATAATTAAACCCTTGGATCCCAATTAAAAGTTAAATCAACGGTCAAGATTCGGCTAAGTTTCCTTAAAACAGTTTACCCTTCTTCAACGACAAATCTTCAACATTCTCAATTTACACTCAGACAATTAGGGTTTTTCTTCTGAGAGAAGCAAAGAGATTTTGAAATCTGAAGAGAGAGTGATTCAGAGTTCATTGGGTCGTCTCCGGTATATATTTTCTTCTCTGTTAACGAGGAGCGTTACTTCAGATCACCGAAGAAGAAGAAGAACAACAACAAGGTTCAGATATAATGGCGTCTAGAGACTCTGATCAACGTGGAATCGCAGGTTTTTCTTTGTATTTGACTGAGATTGAAATTATCGATCTTGATTGATTGATCTGTTGTATCTTAAAGTTTTGATTTTGCTTAATTGATTTTTTTCCTTCTTTTGATTCAGATTGAAATTATCACTGTTAACGAGTCTTTGATGAGCGTTACTTCAGATCACAGAAGAAGAAGAAGACGAACAACAAGGTTTTAGATATGGCGTCCTCTAGAGTCTCTGATCTTCCTCATCAACGTGGAATTGCAGGTTTTTGTTTCTGAATCTTTGATTAATTTATTTGTTATGTACCTTTTTAATTTGATCTCTGTAATTGTTTTCTTTGATTTCTTGCAATTACGTGGCTTCTTGTGGAATTATGTTTTCGATTTGATTGAGATTGAACTTATCTCTTAGAAACTTGACGCAATTTTGATACGAATTGTTGAAATTTGTTATGGATCTTGATCGATTGATGTGTTGTGTCTTAAAGTTTTGATTTTGGTTAATATTTCCAATTATTTTGATTCAGATTGAAATTATCTCTTGGAAAATTGACTTAGTTTTGATATAGAATTTGTACTGAGTGTTCATGACTCGCTCTGATCGGATGAGACTGCAAGTTTCTGTTAGGTTAATACTGATGGGTTTGTGCTATAATTGAATTTGTTAGGTGAAATCAAATCGAAGGATGTTGCAGGACAAAACCGAAAAGTTCTTATCACTGGTCGTGAAGTTGATAATCAAATTCTTATCAGTTCTCTTAAAAAGTTTAGTAATTTGGTAATTTGGTAATTTGGTAAAAGTTTCAAACCATTGAAGCATAACTGATTTGATTCTTTCTTGTCTGGTTCAAATTGTGCTCTTTAGTCTCTCTGTTTTGATGTCATCATGTCTGGATTTACTTGTCAATGTCTTCTTGATTTCTTCAAGAAACTGAAGTTAGGACGTGTTTGTTTGTTTCGTCTTCAGTGTAGGAAGCACAAAGATATTTACATGTGGATGGTGAAGTCCCCTGGTGGACCTTCCGTTAAGTTCTTGGTTAATGCTGGTATAATGCTTCTCTTATTTGGTTTCAAAATAAGTGACACGAGCTGATGGATCTAATCTTATGTTGGGTAATGATGGGTTTATCACTTTGTATCGTCTCTGAGTTGTGTCTTTGTGTTTTTGTGGTGAAGCTCACACAATGGAATCATCTGAAAGGTTCACGCCCACTTTCGACATTCTCATCCAATTTTGAAAAAGATGCACAGTGGAAACTTCTTAAAGAGATGTTAACTCAGGTTATTCCTATTTCCATTCTCACTTTTGAATTGTGGATGATCCTTTTGTAGTCGCGGTTAGTTTGGTTTATATCTTGAACTTTTAACATTTTAATGAATTTTGTTTTTTGCTTACAGATTCTTGGAATTCCCGAGGGACATAGGAAGTCTAAACCTTACCATGACCAAGGTTTGTTTTTTCTCCCATGCAGATAACGGTACCTCATAACGAGTCAGACAAGATTGCACGAGGTGATCTGGATAAAATGACTCTTATTGAGGTCAGGCCGTGACTATATTCTAACTGGTCGTGAGTAAACCAACCGGAAAGGTACACATCTCTGATTTCTTTCTTTGTTTTGTTTTCATCCAAATTTGGAACTCCTAAAAGTATTTGTTGGTGCGGGAATTAGCACCCACCACAATACCGGCCTAAACCAAAGAAGAAAATTCGAATTAATTGAACAATTCAATTAAACCGAGTTTTCCCGGTTTTACTTGTTAGTGGGCCATTGGGCTCGAAGCCCATGGAGGTCGCCAGCCGACCTCCCTCAAATCAATGGAAAGGTCGTTACCGATCTTCCAAGAGTAGACCGGTCAAATGGTTACTCCAAACGGAATCACCCCCGCCAAGGATGCAACCACTAGTGAACCCAAACGGAATCAACCCTGGCAGGCGCGCAACTACCGATAAATCTGAATGGATTCATCCCACATGCTATCTAACCACCCGGCAATCTAACTGGCAGTGAACAACAACTTCCTCAGGATGGAAGTTGTCGGAAATATGACCAAGGCAGAGCAACTTGCCGCTAATACAAGAACAGATGCAGCAACATCAGCCACATGGATCCCTCTCGACGATCTCAAAGTGGTCTTCTACAGTATAACCGAGAATCTAGTTCAGATGATCACGGATACCTACCGAAGAATTGATAAGCTCGCCCGAAACATTCAGCAACCGCCTAGCAGTGAGGTTACATCCTAAAGGTCAGCAAGACTGCGGGAGTTGGCCCGGAACTTGGACTTCACGGACGCCCAGTCTAATCGCGTTAACATGATCTTCCTTGTGCAAGCCACAACTGGGGTCTGACCTACCGAAAGCAAACTATCCTTACTAATGCAGCGGATAAGTACGAAAAGAGTCTTTGGATATCAATGGATTCTCAAAGAACGATTCGTAGCTCGGAGTTCTTAGTTTTGTGTATCAATGGATCACAAGAACAAAGAAATCAAAGACTTCAGTTTGAGAAAAGGTTTCTCGTTTATTAATCAAAAAATACCAAAGAACAAAGAACAATCCTCGATCCTACTTATAGAGATGTAGGTCGGCAAAAACAAATCTAAAACGTATCTTGAAGCAATATTATAGTTGAGAAATAAAAGTAAATAGAAAAGAATTGCCAAAAACATGTAGCCGACTCCAAGCCCACGGTCGTAACAGAAAACGTAAAGCCCAAACAAGAACAGAGTGATAGATGCTGCATCAGGTCCCCCGAGGTAGAGAAAAATTCGTCCCCGAATTTTCTTCATCATCTGAAGCTGCAAAAGGAACCAAGTGTCTGACGTTGAAAACATCAGATGTGTGCATCGTAGAAGGAAGACGTAGACGGTAGGCATTGTTGTTTATCTTTTCGAGAATCTCCAACGGGCCAATCTTGCGTGCTTTTAACTTGTTATAGGTACCAGCGGGAAAACGATCTTTGGTTAACACTGCCCATACCTTATCGCCAACGTTAAAGCTCAAGTCACGGCGATGCAAATCAACTGCAGTCTTGTATTTTGTGGTAGCGAGCTCCAAGTTGGTCTGCACCTGCTTGTGTAAATCCACAAACTCTTCAACAACATCACATGCTCGCCCATGAAAACGAGATCGATCAGGCGCAATGCTCAAGTCAAGAGGTGTGCGTGGAGATAAGCCATAGACGACACGAAATGGACTGAATCCCGTACTTCTATTGAAAGCATGATTGTGTGCAAACTCAGCTTGACATAAAACATTATCCCATGAACGAAGATGGTCACCAACCAAACTGCGCAAAAGATCCCCAAGTGCTCTATTAGTGACTTCTGTTTGGCCATCCGTTTGCGGGTGATAGGCGGAGCTCATATCCAAGCTTGTACGCAACAGTTTCCACAAGGAACGCCAAAAGTGGCTTAGGAAGCGAGAGTCACGGTCTGACACAATTGACAGCGGTAAACCATGTAGCTTATAAACCTCTCGGAAAAACAATGTGGCCACTTGTGACGCATCAGTCGTTTTCTTGCAAGGAACAAAGTGAGCCATCTTGGAGAAACGATCGACAATAACAAAAATAGAGTCATTACCGCGTTGTGTTCGTGGCAGTCCGAGAACGAAGTCCATGCTGATGTCGCTCCAAGGTTGAGTAGGAATAGGTAGAGGAAGATACAACCCAGCATTTGTAGCGTGGCCCTTGGATTTTTGACACACGGTACAACGCACCACAAAGCGCTCAACATCTCTACGGAGTGAAGGCCAAAAATAAGAAGCTACCACAAGCTGCAGTGTGCGGTCTCTCCCAACATGACCCTCATTGTGGAGTTCTTTAATAATCTGAAGACGAAGACTACATTC